AGTAAGCAGCAAGTGGAGTGTGGGGGGTCGGTGCAGAGGTGGCGGTCCCGGAGGGTCGCCAGAAACTCGGTATCAGTTAGTGAAGAAGAGTGAAGTAGAAGGGAGACATCCTTGCGCTGGGATGCTTTGGCATGGGTGGAGTCAAGCAGCACCCTGAGAAGCGACCAAGTGTCGCGGAGCCCAAGCTTGCCGGCCATGCGGTCGCACGTTTGACTCCACTGTTGTCGTAGAAGAGAGGAGCAAGCTCCTCCATGCTTAATGCGAGCCGGGCCAAACGGAGGTGCAGGCGGCGATTATGTTTCTGGGCCTGCCATCGGCGGTAGACAGCGTGATAGGCGTCCCAAAGGTGCAGCAGACGGCTGTCTGCCGTAGTGGAGTGTGGCGCTGCAGGGAGTGTGGATGTAGCGGTGCGGCCACCTGCCAAAATGGTCTTAGTACCGACTGAGAGGTCCGTGATAGCAGAAGGAGAGGAAGCAGAGAAACGAAGGGAGCGAGCAAGGGAGGGGAGTGGGAAAGTGGTGCAAAGAACGTAGTGATCGCTACCGAGGGAGATACCCGTATTACACCAGAATGAGTCGGCTGCATTTCTGGCGAGTGCAAGGTCGGGATTGATGTCTCGTTGGACACTGAATCCGATTCTGGTAGGGCGAGTGAAATCGTTAAGAATCGATAGACGTTAGTTGGGGATGAAGTTCCAGAGTGAGTGGCCCTTGCGGGTATTCTGGGGGTAGACCCAGCTGGTATGGGGGGCATTGAAGTCACCTAGAATTACAAGGCAAGCGGCCGGCGCAGGAATGCGCTTTGCGTAGGACGAGGAGTAGAGGGGCAGAAGGAGCTTTGGGAGGGTTGCACACATTGAGGACAAAAAGGCTTGCCTCAGTGTGACGGCGAGGAAGGGTTTCAAGGAGGAGATGGACACATTCCGAAACGTCCAACTGGTGCAGCACCGCAGTAAGGTTACGGTGCACCAGCATCGCAACGTTCGGGTGGGCCACAGGAGATTGATGAAAGGCAGTGTAATCGCGAAGTTTCACGGGACTTAGTGCTTCCTGAAGTGCTATTACAGAGAGTAGTGTCGGGAGAGATGTTCTGGAGGTGGAGCGGAAGGGCGCTCCGCTTGGCACGGAACACCCGACAGTTCCACTGCCAGAGATTAAGATGCGGGTGGTGCCTGGCCATGATGAATGGCAGGGAGACCGGGCGAAGTTGGTGTAGGTGCCGGGGTGAGCGGGGCGGGGAGCGAGCGATGCGCAAGGGTGGCCTCAGTGGCGCTCTGTCGGGTCTCTAAGGCAGCTACCCTGGCGTCTAAGGCGGCGAGGTGGGAGTCGATGGCGGCCATGCGCGTCTCGATAGGGGCTACACGGTCTTCAAGTCGCGTGAAGCGGGTCATGATGCGCAGTTCGAACGACTCCAAGAAGCAGGCTGTTTCGCGAACGACGTCACGCTCGTGTGGGGCGATGGCGTCGGAGGAGGGTGATCGGCGTTTCTGGGGGGGGTCCACGGGCAGGGGAAGAGACGCGCGATGATGCAGCCGATAGTGCCGTGTTCATGGACTCCTCAGCTGGTGCAGGTGGAGACCGCGTTTGTGTAGGGGTGGGAGCTGGGGAAAGAGGAGCGGGAAAGGACAGACGTGCCAGCGCGGCCTGCAGCTGACGCGTCAGCTCTTGAATTTGGAGCTGCTGGGCAGTTATAGTGGCCTCGAGAGCCGCGATTTCGGGGTCCGACGTGTGAGGCTGCGTTGTCGAGCTTACCGGTGGTGTGGCCGTGGTGGTGGTGTTAGTGGTGGAGGGGACGGCGGACGCCTCGGACCTGGGCAGGGGCGGGAAAGAGGCGGAGCGGTGGTGGCTGGAAGACCGGGCACCGCGGGATGTAGACCGGTGGCGGTGTCGGGAAGGCCGGGAGCTCTTGAGGATGGGCCCGGTAGGTGGTGCTGGTGCCGGAGGCTGGAGCTTGTAGCTGGACGAGCGTGACGGGCCACTCTTGTTGAATCAGAGTTTGCACGGACGTGACCCCTTGACGCGGTCTTCTTTGCACGGGATGCAGCATGGGACGCAGGTCGGGGGCTCAACTCTCTGTGGGTCTGGCCGCAGCGGCAGCAGAGGGCGGACTTGGGCTTGATGAAGACGTCCACGCGATGGCCAGGAGTCCAGCAGTTAATGCAGGCCTCAGCTTTCGGGCGGAACGGGTGGCAGCGGTAGACGCCGCAATTGAAAACGATCGAACAGGGGAGGATAGTAGTGCCGACAAAGGTAATTAGGATGGATTTTCAGCGCCCCACCCGGCGCGCGTCGGCGATGGCGTAGGGGGTGTTCAAATTCATATACTGGAGATCTTGGATGATCTCGTCCTGTGTTTGGGAGTCCACGGCATTGTAGATGATGCTGCAGAGGTCGTTGTCTGATGCTACCATGTAGGCAGCACAATAAGTGAGTTGCTGTATGGATTGATGCGTACACGGGCAGCGGTGCGGGCGGCTGCGTAGTCGATGTTGGCGAGACTGCAGAGTGTTTGGAGCAGGACACCGTTAGTTGTAGTGCGGAGGTCAAGTCCCCCTCCCTGCCTGAAGACGATTTTGAAGTCCTCTGCAGGAAGTCGAGGGAGGGGAGCTTGACAAAGACGAGTGGAAGCACTAGGGGGTGATGTTCGGCGGTCGAGTAGTCTCCCTCCTGCAACGGGGTCGAGGAAGGTGGCGTCGAAGTGATGGGCTGGTGGGCCGCGGCTGCACGGTGTGCTTTCACTGCACGGATCCAGCGTGAGTCAGCTTCGAATTCAGCTGGGGTGATGGATTCACCGTCGACTTGCAGTATTCCATTCTCAAAATAGCCAAGCCTCATTTGGGCCGCAAACCCAGCGCCGCTCTCCGCGCATTGACGCCACAAAGACAAACGACCCTCGTGTGTCACCGTCTGCGCAGCAGTGCCACGCCAGCGGGAACCTCTACACGAGAACCGTGGAGGCGAGGTGGACTCCCCGTTGTTCCCTTCATCTTAGCCGTGTGAGCATACGACTCCACTCACACGTTGCCCGTGGCGGACCTCTTGGAGGTGGGGAGCGCATGATCCGAGGTCGCGGCTCCAACTAGGCTGAATTACGTGGGCGCGCCACCACCCATACCGTACAGGCACCTGAATCATGGAATGGACCGGAAACTTCTCTGACTGGCGTGCAAGGACCGACTCCTTAGCGGTGGCATCCACATACGCTGGATTACAGAGGGACGCAAACACCTCCTGCCAATGCTGCCTAGTCTGTCTGGTCCTGTCACAAGGAATGCGTTCCTAATTCCAGCGCTTCTGAGTCGTCAGGTTACAGGAGCATACCATTCTCCTAGCTATTCCGGCACTGTTCTGTTCGCATAGCGAACTATGGTGTTAACCTTCCTTAGGAACACACAATGGCGGAGTGGACCAATGTCCATTCGTGTGATCTTTATTCTTTTTCTTTTCTAAGGTACTTCGCCCTCAGACGCTGGGTTACAGAGGCTCGCCACCACCTCCAGCGTAGAAACAACCGGGTACCCGTCCAAGGAACACACCTGCCACAAACAACCGGGTACCCATCCAAAGAACACACTCACCACAATTAATGTCCAATCGGAGTCTTTTGTCATTCATTGCCCATTAGCATTGATTGGCATGTTCCAGTAGGAAACACCGGTTTATCGCTCTGTGCTTTGCACCTCCCCAGGTTTCTCTCCAGCACAGCGCCTCGATGAGCGCCCGCGTCAACGCCGCCGCCAGTATAAGCGTTAGCGCCCGCTGCTTAACGCATCAACGCATGGTTTCCTTTAGCGGGAGGTTGACTAATATTTTAGATGCAGCTTATGGCGGAGTTCAATACGGTGTGCGGCGTGACCACCCTTACTGCGCATGCAAAAGCTGGACCCAAGCACTGCCAGAACGCGCTCACGCGCTATCCCGTTCCGGTCTGTGTAAGGGGCTGGGTAAGACGCTGTGGCCTCTCCCCTTTACACTCCCTGTGATGTGATGGTGTCGGGGAACGAGATTCTCCATACACGCGATGAACAGACGCGTTGTACCCTCTCCCGATCTCCTGGCCACTCCCTCGCCAGAGGGGTGGGAGGCAGCTCTGACCTCCACCAGCTTGGCAATTCAGCTCCAGGTCGTACAAAGGACAGAGGAAGTGGCCACCAGGTTCAGCCTGGCGGATCACCTACCTCCATGAGTCTGACGACAATAAAGTTGTGTTCTCTCTCTATCCCAGGCAGAACGCGCTGGCACGCGTTAGTGCGTTTGGCCCTGCTAAGTGGCTGTGTAAGAGGTTGTGGCCTCTCCCCTTCACACTTCCTCAGCAATCACGCGATGGCGTCGGAGAACGAGATTCTGCAGACGCGCGATGAGTCCGCGTGCTCCCGCGTGGCGTGGCGATGAGCCCGCGTGGCGTGCTCCAACAAGAGTTCGGGACGAGTAAAAGCAACAGATACTTCAGTGAATTCATGGTGGGCTACACTTTCAAGGACGCGTTAACATCGGGCAAGGTGCACGTGATGAGCGAAATTTTAGGTCGACCCACGCTCCTTCGCATGCTGCTGACTGTTCCCTTTAAACCTGGTGTATTTTTTTCTTATTTCACACATATCGTCAGGGCACCGAAGCGCACATGCGGTGAAAGCTTTACTCAAAGCGATGAATATTGCAAAATCACCAGAGTTTCCCTTAAAACATCGCTTGCAGAAACATGCAGAGCATTAACGCTATGGGTCAGTTATACATTTACAATGAGCTCATGAATTTTTAGCATCGCTTTTCTTTCCGTCACGTACCACTGAAGCTCAGACATGCCAGACGGCGTTTGGGATTGGATTGACTTGGCTAGCACGAAGGAAAATTGACACTGATCTCAGGAATTCAATTAAGCAATTGAACTTGCGCACTTGTAGCTGCAAGCAACCGAGGCATGCAGCTACAAGTGCGCAAGTTAACTGATAACAACGTGGTCCCTCATCTAACCTTGAACCTTCATTATTATCTTTGCCACAGGGGAGAAGTCATCAACGGAGGGTTCGGTTGTGTTCTGGATGGAACCAAGGTAAGAGAAAAGTAGTGGGTATTCTTATTTTCTATGAACCTATTTATTCAATACGTACTAAATATACTAACTGCAACGAAACGCCTTTGGTTCATGTTTAACCTACATATTGTCACGTATTGCAAGAGGGTGACACAAACAATAGCTTTATTAAAGGGCGAACTTGTGCCCAGAAAAATAGGTAAATAACTGAGTCCGCTAAAGCGTTCCACACTAGCGTCTCTCTCGAACACCTTTTTTCACAACCCGTCGATCAGGCCACCGTCGCGAGCCCAAGCACGAGGAGCAATGACTCGCGTTGCTACAGCGCGCGCAGGTGCGCTACGTTGTAGACGCTTGCATAGCGTCTCGCTGGTTCTCCTGGTAGTTGTAGACGCTTGCATAGCGTCGCGCTGGTTCTCCTGGTAGAAGGCAGTCTCTGCGGCATTACTCCCCCTCCGAAATACGCATCGTCCCGATGCGCGGTTGGGGGAAGTACGCAAGGGGGAATGCTTCAGCATCTCTCGAAGTAGGGCTTCATGCGGGCTACATGTACGACCTCTGCATGGTTTTGACGTCTTGAGCGCTCTTGTCCTTCAGGAATAACTTCATAAGTTATGTCACTGAGTTGGCGGATGACCTTATATGGACCAAAGTAGCGTCGAAGAAGTTTCTCTGACAGCCCACGGTGGCGTATTGGTGTCCACACCCACACTTGATCGCCTGGCTGATACTTGACTTCTCTGCGGCGCAGGTTGTAGTGGCTCGCGTCCCTACATTGTTGTTGACGTATTCGATGTCGCGCTAGTTGGCGCGCTTCTTCAGCTCTTTGTAGGAATTCTTCAACGTCAGATGGCTCATAATTGTCGTTATCGACAGGGAGCATAGCGTCGAGTGTTGTAGTCACCATACGGCCATAGACCAGCTCAAATGGAGGAATGCGGGTGGTCTCCTGTACTGCCGTATTGTAGGCGAACGTTGCATAAGGTAGGATTTCGTCCCACGTCTTATGCTCTATGTCCACGTACATCGACAACATATCCGCTATGGTGCGGTTTAGGCGTTCCGTCAACCCGTTCGTTTGGGGATGATACGCAGTACTTTTTCTATGAGTGGTATTAGTCATATTCATCAGGCACTGCATCAACTCCGATGTGAATGCTGTTCCGCGATCGGTGATAACTACCATCGGGGCGCCATGTCGCAGAACTATGTTGTGAACGAAGAACTTGGCAACTTCCGCAGCCGTTCCTCGTTCCAGGCAGCCAGTTTCTGCGTACCGCGTTAAATAGTCGGTTGCGACAATAATCCACCTCTTTCCTGAGGATGACATTGGAAACGGCCCGAGAAGATCCATTCCAATTTGCTGAAAAGGAGTCTCAGGTGGGTCTATGGGCTGGAGCAGGCCGGCAGTTTTCAGAGGTGGTGTTTTGCGCCTTTGACATTCGCGGCATGTCTTCACATAATGCTGTACCGATGCTAACAGCTTGGGCCAGTAATATTTCAGATGAATTCTGGCGAATGTCCGGCTGACACCTAAGTGACCCGAGCACGGTTCATCATGGCAAGCTTGTAATATTTCACGTCTCATGACTTGCGGCACAACGAGTAAGAACTTTTCTTTGTTGCTTCTGAAGTTCCTTTTGTAGAGTACATTACCACGGAGGCAGAACGACGATAATGTTCTCCTAAATACACGTGGAACTTGGGAGTCGTGCCCTTCGAGGAATTTTATCAATGGGAGCAGTTCTGTGTCGGATCGTTGCTGCTCGGCGATATCTGAAGCCTTCACAACACAAAGGAACGGAAAGTCGTCCTCTTCCGAAGAGGTAGAGTCCAGTGGCGAGCGTGATAAGCAATCAGCATCGCTGTGTTTTCTTCCCGACCTATATACAACTGTAATATCGTATTCTTGGAGCCTGAGGCTCCATCTCGCAAGTCGTCCCGACGGGTCTTTTAAGCTCGCCAGCCAGCAAAGTGAATGGTGGTCGCTGACGGCGCGGAACGGCCTGCCGTAGAGATATGGCCTGAACTTGCTAATCGCCCATATAACTGCCAAGCACTCTTTTTCCGTTGCAGAATAGTTCTTTTCAGCTTTTGACAGGGTGCGACTGGCATAGGCTATGACTTTCTCTTCTCCATTTTGCCATTGAGCTAATACCGCGCCGAGACCAAGATTACTTGCGTCTGTATGGACTTCCGTGTCCGCAGTTTCATCAAAATGTGCGAGGATCGGTGGGGCTTGTAAACGGTTCTTTAGTTCCTCGAAAGCTCTCTCTTGTTCCTTATGCCAAACGAATGATTCTTCCTCTTTTGTGAGTCTGGTCAGAGGTTCAGCAATTTTCGAGAAATTTTCTATAAATCGTCTGTAGTAAGCGCACAAGCCCAGAAATCGACGCACCTCCTTCTTGTCTCTCGGCTTGGGGAATCGCGCAACGGCCGCAGTTTTGTCCGGATCCGGGCCAACACCTTCAGCGCTGATCACATGACCGAGAAAACGAAGCTTTTCATATCCAAACTGACACTTTTCCGGTTTAATAGTCAAGCCGGCCGACTGGATGGCGTGAAGCACTGAACGTAGTCGTTCTATATGCTGTTCAAAGGTTGCAGAAAATACCACAACATCGTCCAAGTATACTAAACATGACTGCCATTTGAGACCCGATAGAACACTGTCCATCATGCGCTGGAATGTCGCCGGCGCACAACAAAGGCCGAATGGGAGTGCTTTAAATTCGTACAAGCCGTCCGGAGTTACGAAAGCCGTCTTTTCGCGGTCTCTTTCATCCACTTCAATTTGCCAATACCCGCTTTTTAAATCTAATGACGAGAAATATCTGGCATGCCGTAGGCGATCTAATGTATCATCGATACGTGGCAAGGGGTATACGTCGCGCTTGGTCACGCTGTTCAGTTTCCGGTAGTCAACGCAGAATCTCAACGTGTTGTCCTTTTTCCTCACAAGCACTACTGGCGATGCCCACGGACTGTTGGATGGTTGGATGACATCATCCTCCAGCATCTCTTGCACTTGACCCTTTATGACCTCTCGTTCTTTGGGTGAAACTCTGTACGGGTTTTGATGAACAGGTCTTGTTTGCTCGTCAGTTATTATTCGGTGTTTAACGATCTGCGTGCGACGTACTTTTGACGAGGTGGAGAAACACTCTGAGAAGTCTCTTATGAGGTCCTGTATGATTTGCCTTTCGCCTGATGATAGACTTCTATTTATTGAAACCGCAGCTCCGACATCATCCGTACTTCCCGAAGCAGGTGGTGCTGACGTGAGGCCACACAAATCTGTCGCTGCAGTAAAGCTGTGCAGAAAGGCAATGGCAGTGTCTTTTGCAACATGCTGTATTGCATTTCCGAAGTTTGTGAGCAACACACTGGCGCACCCATCACGTAATTGAATGATGCCCCGGGCTACACAAATACCTTTCTTTAGTAGCAGCTCGACGTTGCTATCCGCTATGCCTTCGGAATCGGCAAATGTGTCATTTCTGACGCCAACCAGCACGCTGCATCGTGGTGGCACGGTTATGTCTTCGTCGATAACCCGCAATGCAGTGCTCTCTACCTCCTTCTCGTCTATGGCCAGCTTCGTCGAGAAGGAAACGCTAGAATTTTGTAGGTTGATTATGGCACCGTTCGCTAGCAAGAAATCCATCCCGAGAATTACGTCCCTTGAGCATTCCGGAAGCACAATAAACTCAGCCACGTAAGTAGCACCCTGAATTCCTATTCTCGCGGTACATCTTCCCACTGGTGTTATCCTGTGGTCCCCAGCCGTTCTTATTTGTGGACCACTCCACGGCGTCAAAACTTTCTTGAGATCCCTCGCGAACGCGTAGCTGACGACTGAATAATCCGCACCGGTATCGACTAAAACGCTCAATTCCCGCTCGTCCACCGTAACGCGCAAGTCCGAAGAAATTGATTCCTTACTTATCTTAGCCGTTCTTTTCTGCCTGTCGCTGCTACCCTCGGGTCTTGACGGAGGATCTTCGCCTTGTCGAACAACAGCGGCCTTGCCTCCACAGGTCGCTGGACTTAGTTTTCCTGCCGCGGGCTCGTTGAACGTCTTGGTGGACCTGAGAATGGGGAACTTGGACGCCGGGGGCTCGGTGATCGGTAACGTTTCGGCGCCGGTGACCTTGGCTGGTGCTGAAAACTAGCAGATGGGAGTTGCTGCCTTGACAGGTAATCTTCTATCTCCATGGGTCTTTCACCATTACGCGGGCATGGTGCGTTCACAGAAAACCCCCGCAGGCCGGCCCTCCGGTATGGGCACGTTCTGTAAAGATGTCCAGCCTCTCCGCAATGAAAGCAAAGCGGCGTCCAGTCGGGTGTGCGCCACACGTCGCTTTTTCGTGGTCTCAGCTCTCCGAGAAAGGGCGAGCCATGCGAAGCCGACGGGCGTGTACTGGGGGCTACGAAAGAAGCGTTGTGCACGGCAGGCTGGCGTAGAGCGTCCGCGTACGTTGGCATGCGACGTGTCTGCAGTGGTTGTTCCAGTCGAACAGGTTGCGGCTCAGGTTCCGGCTGAAGGATGGCGTGCCGGACTTCGTCACGAATGACGGCGGCGAGGGTCGAGACTGTTGGCATCACTTGTGGCTGCATCAACTTCTGAATCTCTTCCCTTACAATGGATCGCACCAGTTCTCTTAGCGTTTCACTGTTGTTACTTTGGCCTGCCGATAGGACGTCCACTGGTGCGCTACTGGCGTCTCGGTTGTAATGACGGGCACGCTGCTGTAGCGCCTTCTCTATGGTTGTTGCTTCGATGCGGAACTCGGCAACCGTGCGTGGTGGATTGCGAACTAACCCAGCAAACAAGTCCTGCTTGACTCCACGCATTAGGTGGCGCAGTTTCTTCTCTTCCGTCATGTTCGGATCAGCGCGTTTGAAGAGCCGGCACATGTCTTCGACATACATGCTGACACTCTCATTCGTGCGTTGACTCCTGGACTGGAGAGCGTTCTCTGCCTTCTCTCGGCGGTCGGTGCTGGCATACGCAGCGAGCAAGTGTTGTCGAAAATCTTCCCATGTTGTTATCACCGCTTCGTGATTTTCGAACCACACCTTCGCTGAATCCTGCAACGCAAAGTACACGCGTCCAAGTTTCCTTGTCTCATCCCAGGCATTGGTCCTTGCGACTCGCTCGAAATGTTCCAGCCAGTCTTCTACATCTTCGTGCGAGTCACCGTGGAAGGGCTCAGGCAGGCACGGTGGTGACACGATGAGCTCGGATGTAGAACCTGCGGTGGCCATCGTTGTGGGGTCGTTTGTAAAAGCTGCTTGCGTTGCTGGAGCAGTGGTGAGCGGTCCGAATTCAGGCGGGTCTCCTCGAAGACGACGGCTCGAACGCTGGTGTACAGGAGTCAATTCGCCAGGTTCCAGTCGTTGAGGGTCGGGGCTCCGCTCTCTTGCGCCTGAGGGACTTCCAATCATACCCCGCACCTCCACCAGAATGTCACGTATTGCAAGAGGGTGACACAAACAATAGCTTTATTAAAGGGCGAACTTGTGCCCAGAAAAATAGGTAAATAACTGAGTCCGCTAAAGCGTTCCACACTAGCGTCTCTCTCGAACACCTTTTTTCACAACCCGTCGATCAGGCCACCGTCGCGAGCCCAAGCACGAGGAGCAATGACTCGCGTTGCTACAGCGCGCGCAGGTGCGCTACGTTGTAGACGCTTGCATAGCGTCTCGCTGGTTCTCCTGGTAGTTGTAGACGCTTGCATAGCGTCGCGCTGGTTCTCCTGGTAGAAGGCAGTCTCTGCGGCAATATTGAGTAAGTTGCATTTAGTTTATTAACTTTGGCTCATGCATTTATGTTTTATGCTTTAACGTACACACCACATATTTTTCTCATATCAATACGTGACTGAGAAATATTGCGCAAGCTATGTTAAGTTTATACCTACCTACCTACCTACCTACCTACCTACCTACCTACCTACCTACCCACCCACCCACCCACCCACCCACCCACCCACCCACCCACCTACCTACCTACCTACCTACCTACCTACCTACCTACCTACCTACCTACCTACCTACCTACCTACCTACCCACCCACCCACCCCCCGCCTGCCTGCCTGCCTGCTTCCTTCCTTCCTTCAAGTGGTCTTTAAGGTAATTACGGAGTTAATATATCAATGAAGAAGTTAACAAGCCCGCGTGTATTTCACAAAAACAAATTATTGAAAGATGAGTACTCAAATGAAAGATCACAGCTGTTCAAAAGTTTGCAGCCAAATGCATGCCAGTAAAAGGTAATTTAATGAAGCAAAGGATAAGTAGAATGTATTAGATTCATCACAGCCATTATGTATCACTGAAGAACATCAGTTAGCGTTCACAGAAATTTCCTGCTCCCATCACGAATGATCACTAAAAAATAAACGAGTTGAAGTCATGAATGGTTATACAGATAGGTGCGAGTGACACTGTGATCAACTACTCAAATGTTGTCAATGTTGGCTGTTCGTTTCAGGAAGCAGATGGGCGTTTGACAACGCTTCTCTCGTGGGACGTCAACAACGGGGTGAGTGGTAGTCTTTGACATCGTGTGTTGTCAGACCGTTATTTCACGGTTCGGAAATAGCAGAGCCATGTATCAATTGATGCCAGTGGGTCGTTAAATTTCAATTGATTACTGCTTGCGTATCCACGTCACATGAAGTTACAACTGATCGAGTTTAGACAAAAAATAAAAGCTTAATTACGTCACCTTATGTGCAGAATCATCAGTAAAACTACTTCATGCGTTATCGCAATCATGTGAACGGTAAAGTGGGGCCCTGCAACACTTCTACGACGGCCTTATTTAGCCTTAGAATGTGAGCAGCAATTATTGACGAGACGTATGCAGCAAGAATATGTAAATCGGTGCACGAAAAGTAAAGTTATGGGCCCTCAAAGTTGAAAACTCGAGCAGACAATGACGAGAAACGTTCCCTTCCGCATTTCATTTGCCTGCTGCAATGAAAGTTCGCTTCCAATCAAAGCGCGCGTCTTACAAAGACATACCGGAATTGTCGCCTCATGGTGGCATTCACACAATACCTCGCTACCACTCTTGTTAGCATGGTTACTATGAACCACGTGTACGAGTAGCAGATGCTCCCACGGTCACACTGCGTAAGATACATACGTATGCTTTGAGCGAGATTACTTCTCGGCTTGCATGCCAGATGCGTTCTATGGCAACACCGACACCCACCACCTGTCGCATTTTGGGCTCACCAAAAATGCATCATGTGGTTCCACCTTTAGTTGCTGGCGTACCATAGCCTCCTTCGCAGGCTAAGCGTTCCTTGTTCTGAAAATACACCATTTAGAAACAGGAATGATTTCTTTTTGAGATAGTATAAAAAGGATTTTTACTGTTTTTTGCATTCACTCGTATGGCTTAGTTACCACAATATAAATATCGCATGCCATTTGTCGCATCAAGCCAATAAAAAACGTACGGTCATTGTTGTCACGTCACATGCTATGGCGTTGCTTCCCATAACAAAAATAGCCGACGGGTGTCGCCATAGTCTGAAATCAAGGTAGTTTGTCCCGTGAATTAAAATTATAACAGTGTCGATTTTGGCATTGCCATTCGCACAATGATATTGGCGCGCTTCACAGCACCTGAAGAACCGATGAAAAATAAATGCTCAAGCAGTGTCACAGGGTCCCTTTAATAACTATCCCTTTTCATGAAATAGTTGTGGCATCATTCTCTCGATGATGCTGCTTTACATTTCTAAGATTTAGCTTGGCAAACCTGTCGGAAATTCGGGAGAATGATGCAATGCCAGTGAATATTCTTGTTGTCAACGTCGTTCACTTCTTCCTAGTACACTTTATTATTTGCATGAATACGATAACGCATCCAAATCTTTTGCTGTAGCATTGAACTGATGTGAGTGAGTGCATAGAAAGCAGGCTCGCCCGCTCACTCATTCACTGGAAAAATAATTTTTCTCTGTGCTACAGGTGTGTCGGAGAAGTTGGTCGGGAAACAAGTACGCCTACGAGACCATCCAGCGAGCTATGAAGGACGATCCGGCTTTGCTGGTGACGCTTCCCAACGAAGCTGACGAACAGCTCTTAAAGAAAGTTCTGGCGGGAAGAAAGCTCTAGGCATCAATCAATAGCTCATCAGCCACAGCAGTTCCTTATCACCGCTTAGAAAACTGGGGCGTTATTCCAAACACTGTTGAAGGCAGGCTATAGCAGAAGTGACAAGTTGGCTCAATGCACAAGTGGCATCCTAAATCCTGTTAATTTTATTCAGAAAGAATAAATCCACGTGAATGAGACACGCACCGCATCATTAATAAGCAGGGCAGCAAAATGAAGTATTGTTTTCAAACCTGTTGTCGCCTGTAATTTGTAGAAATCGAAGCCGTGATTCTGGCTGGTGAAAAGTATTTGAAATGCCGTTGGTTTTACGTTTAAATTTTTATGTGTTAATCTTATATCACCGTGCAGCACCTAGTACAATATGGCATGTTTACGTTTTCATCCTGTTTTTTGCAACACTACAAAAAGAAAAAAAAAAACCTGCCGTTTTATAGCTTTTTTCTTTATTGTGAAGTGGGATTTAAACAACAAACGATTGATTGATATGTGGGGTTGAACGTACCAAAACCACCATATGATTATGAGAGACGCTTTAATGGAAGGTTCCGAATATTTCCACCACCTTGGGTTCTTTAACGTGCACCCAAGTATGAGCACACGGGCCTACAGAATTTTCGCCCCCATCGAAAAAGCAGCCGTCAAAGGTGGGGTTCAATCCCGCGACTTGCGGGTCAGCAGGCAAGTACCTTAGCCACAAGACCACCACGGCGGGGCAAACAAACGATTCCTCCAGTGTCTTTTGTCGATCAATGCAGAAAACGGCGATGTAGCTTCTGAAATGCATGCCGGCATCGAGAAGTATTCGTCTTAACTAGTGAGGTTGAGGAGTGGTGGTAATAATATTAACCAGTATTCCCAGTTTAGCCTCTACAGGTGCGTATGGAAGAGGAACGCAAGGATAACCACGTCATCTCAGTGACTGAAGCATGCTAAATTAGTTTGGAATAGCGAAGGGCTGAACTAGTTGGTATGTATTCATCCTAAAAAAGACAGGGCATGTTTGCACGCCCCGTCTCTTTTAGAATGAATGCTAAATTCAACCTGGCAATGAGGTCGTCGGCATTTACCATCATTTACCAATAGTCTGCAATTATATATTATGAAACACAGTTAATTTACCCGCCAGCATTACAAGGGCCCTGCAAATGCAACATTTAAATGCGTTCAACACATCAGCAGTAGGAACAAAACTGGACGCAAGTGATTTGCAGCGAAGTAAATTACCAACGGCACCAACCTGTACTATCGTTCTACAGCGACACCAAAAGCACACGACATTTTTCTTTGATTTCTTCATTTCTCTTTAATTTTGGCAACAATTATACAGACACTCGATTATGCATCTCTGCATAATCGAGTGCCTCATTGCCATCATGTTTAACAATTGTACGGACACTCGATACGCATCTCTGCCATCGTCACTGCCGTCATGTTCTCTATAAAGTCGAAGTCGACGTCACCCCTCGGCTCGTATGCTTCATGTGCGAGCGAAAGCTTGTGAATACTGCAGGCGGGCGCTGCTGCTCAGGCAGAGATAACACAGGCCGGGTGAAAGAGAGTAAAGCAGGGTTGCCCTCTGTTGGGTAATTACCCCACTTGTGGGGTATTTTCCGGAATGTTAAGGCCAGCATAGGGCTAGCAGGCTGGTGACGTGGGTAATTTGAGCATTTTGCTCATCATTGATGAGTAAAAAATGTAGAACATCCACGCAACATATTCGAAGGTTACATTCTTGGAGAGATCCGAAATGGAATTTTGATTCCAATGTCACAAGCACAAAAGATGAAAGATAATGCATCAAACATCCCTTGTGCTAAGTTTGATTTTTTTTCTCGGAGGCGTTTTTCCCCCCTCTCGGTCGTCTCCTGTCTGCTTGTTTTGTGGAAGAGTTTTAAATTTTGTCACGGTGGTCGGCTTCAGTCATTAAAGTAGAAGCTTTAGATGTTTCATCATACATGAAAAGTGATGGTCGGCGTCAATGCGAGTGCTACAAAAATCAACATGATATAATGAGGATGCATCATGATGTCATTGTGGCATAACATATTGCCAGAATTATCAATGTAATCATCGATAATTAACTATAGTTAGTAGTAACTATGCAGCTCACGATGCTCAAAGTGGACAAATGGTCATGGCCTCCGGGTTTTTAGCGTAGTCAGTGGAGAGAAAGGCGAGTGACTATCAGCTCACTTTTGACAGTTGTAAATTCTAAGCTGCATGCTGTGCTATTATTTACGGCTCACATGTTCTCGGTAGCCTCGATTGCCGGTCGGCAGCGTTTTCTGACCATGCTAAAAAAGCCTTGCAGAGCCCCTTTATTTATTTTGCGTGTTACTCACTCCCCTCCATTTTTTTATGTGTTAATGAGTACTTACCAGCAAACGACCATTTCTTAATACTTAACTATTACACTTCCTACGTTTGAAGAAGCACTGCCGTTTTATCACCGCAATTAGTGAAGCAGCCTTGGCGATGCTGGCGAAGCTACTTTTTTTTAGGGTGCATTCCACATCCTTTTTAATGGCAAAAGCTTCGGTGTGTAAAAATGTGTACAAATAACTAGAACAGCATTCCCCACAAAAATCGGGCAAATCCCTTTACTTACACTGATCCACCGAAGATAAAGAAAGCTACGAACAGGCAGCAAACACCAATTAAGATCGCTCCTTTTCGTTTGCTTCCAGTATAACCCACTCCCCTCTATAATGCCAAAAGGCCCTGAGGGTACATAAACAGACAAATAAATCACAATGCATGTGTACAGCATATAGTACAATGTTTTGTTGGTGATAACTTGTAAGTTAGGTTGAGTGCTGCATTCCGTTTTGCCTTCATTATTACTGCTTTGTGGTCCGTGAAATGTAGAGCCAATGACTCTTTGATCGGATCTAGCCATTAGTTGGCAAATACAGGGTCTATGTACGTTTTCTTTATATATTGCCGTATTTGTAGAGGGGGAAGCCCCACAGACATTTGTCATGTTTACCAAATACATGTAGAAAACAGCAATGGCACAATGCTGATCTTTTGACGACTATAGTCTTATTTGGGATACTTCAAGGCGAAAAGTCTGGTTTGTACGTCTGTCTGCTTGTCAACCGAAATGGCTCAAGTACGATCACATCCACAGCACGCACCAATATTGCTCAAGTTTCTGCGTTAATACTTGTGCGATTGTCGATTGAAAAGCAAATACTGCGCATATGTGAGCCACAATGTCAACACATCAATATTCTGCGGTGTGTTTCGTTATACTATTAAGTGATTCCAAGAACTGCAGTGTTTACTGCGCTGTGCTGACAATGTGACGCTATGCATGAATAGGAGAGTTTCCTACATTTCTCTTAGACGATAGATACCGTGCTGCCACCTACCTTGAAATCTTCAAAATATGGCCTCCAAGATTGTGCGCGCAGACTGAGGCCATCCTTTTGTTTTTTTGATATTACCGCCAGATGGCGCTTATGTCTCACGGCAAAGGGCAAAAATGAAATAAGGAGGGAGGCATTTTACGATAATTCAAGGGGAAGCGCTTTACTGTTTGAAGCGAGATCGGGTTGCCTTAGAACGCGTAGTTATAAAGCAAGATTCAGTAAAGAAGAAGAACAATGCACATGCTGCGGGAAAGATAAGGAAACGGCGGAGCATGTTCTGATTGAATGTAGAGATATCCACCCAGGTGTCCGTTTGGGCACGAGCCTACAGGAAGCCTTGGGTTTTAGGGACAACAATGGAAAGCTGAACACACCCGCGATTGAAATAAGTAAGAGACGGTTAGAGTATTGGTGGCAGAAAATTAGAGAGAAAGGACAAAAATAAATATTGGAAAAATAAAATATGGACAGTGTGCCGTAAATGGCAGAGAACTTAAGCTGAAAATTTACCTTTTTTTCCATTAAGATAGAATTTATCGAAGTAGAGGCATTAGGCCAACATAAAAAAAGAAAAAAAGGTTTTTTTTTTTTTTTTTTTGTCGAGCCTGGTGGCATACTTGTCACCACCCCGTTATAAAGGGGACGCTCATAGCATCCATCCATCCATGCCTCCAAAATCTTATTTACAGATTTTCTCGTGCAAAACATCAAATAAATGTTGTATTCTATTCACTCTCTCCAGACAAAAGACCATCGTCTTTTGACGACATCTGCAGTCGAACCTGCAGATACAGAGCCAATTTTTTTATATGGATGACAACATTTCTCGAATAAAATTCCGCATCAATGCTGTGGCTCTGGTTGCGGCAGTACAAAAACTTCAGTACACAAGCATTATGTCACATTGCACCCTCAACTGCTCTTGGCTTTCATTCCAAGCATGGAAACTGAGACATTTTAGCTTGTATGTTTCAAATTACACCGGGGGTAAGGATACCTCACATGCTCGCATGGGTGGAGCCGGGCTAACAGGTGCAGCAGCGATGTGCCTGATTTGCATGAATGTTTCATACATCACGAGACTGCCGCCAAAAGCAGATAAACACAACTCTAAACAGTCCTTCTGATGTAGGAGAGCAGAAAAAAACAAGAGGAACAGAACAAGAAGTTTCAGCGAAGCAAAGTCAAAGGATGTCCACAGAGCCACTATGTTTCCGGCTTGTCACTCTATGCTGCAGGAAAAAAGGGGACAGAGAGAAAGGGATAGAAGAAAGTAAGCGGTGGTGTCGTAATAATACGACCATGGCATGCAAGACATTGCATAACGTGCACACTGTATGTGGCAAGTGTAGAGACGGGCGCATGCACACACACACACAGATCATGTCTCGAGATGCCACACATACAAACACGAGATACTATGCAGCAGGGCAGCTCACTCTTAATGTATAATTTTAACACCTCTTATGAAACATGTGGAATGAATATGCTATTAAAGATTATATTATTGCACAAATATTTTTCAATAGTGTTTCCAAATATCTATGGTACTAGCAGAATTGTCGGCAGTCGTGTGCTGTCACTACTGATATGCCCTTATGTGCTTCTCCCTATTCAAACAGCACTAAAATTCGTAATGCTGTTATTACGTAGAGTGCAAGGCAGGCTTCGAATGTTCCTGTGCTGAACAGATATCAACCCTAGATCATGTGAGACAGCTCCATGTTTTGTAGCACCATCGCGTAAGCAAAAGTGCTGTGCTCTACCACAGCCTCATCGATGATGACAAGCATACCTGTTTCAATAAGTTCACAATCTGTCAATTACAGTTTACCTTGAACAGCAACGCCTTCTGTCTGCTTCACGACCCATAACACATTCAATCAACTGGCAGAACAAGAAGGAAATGTGAGAAAAAAGAAGACAGAGGATGTGTAATAGATAAAACAAAACCTGATAATGCAGGCAGGAACAACAAAACAAAGTGGGATGCATGTAATGAGAACGATGTTTATGACAGAAGTGGACAGCGAGGTTTACTTTGCGGGTGCTGTCACGGGTGTGGCGGATGCTCTTCGGAAATTGTTGAAGTGTTCCATGTACTGCTGGACAGTGTCCACAGGATTGTACAGTTCGTTCATGCGACCCTGAAGGTACTGGGGAGGACCCTGCACGGTGGAGCCCATGAAGCCTTGCAGGAACTCTCGCATCAGGTCCCAGCAGCTCGATGGGACCACACATGGCAGGTACTCAACCTGAGAAGAATGATCAATGTGGGAACATTCTGCTTTTTCGTATGGCAATTCTTAAACAGAAATGTAAGAAAACAAAAGACTCCTGAATGATTGAGTAACCCTTTCACAACACTAAAGGTGCCATTTATGTCATGAGAAAATGTTTGGGCAAGATCGAAAAAAAAGAAAAAGAAATGAGCAGCATATAAATTTTACAAAGGTTGTCATGTGAAGTCTCTGGCTTTCCTAGAACACAATGCAGAAGATACTTGCAGATAATGCAGATTGTGAATAAATAAATAAATATACATACACGTATGGGAAAGAAGTGAACACTTTAAAGGCTTGCTTTCTTTGCTAGACACAATATTAATTAGATAAAATTAATAATGTGCATGCATGTGTGTGTATATATCTGCATCATTTGCATATATCTTCTGCAATGACCGACATTGCTTTTTAAGGAAGACAAAGGCTTCACATCAACAAACTTTATAGAATTTCATTGAACTGATATGGCTAAAATATGAAAAATAAAGGATTTCCATATCCATATCGTCACACCGACATTGAAGCACAATAGTATCTGCATGAAATGGGCTTTTTTCGGTGGAAAATCTGTGCATGTGCGCCGGCCTCTACGAGGCATGCGCCAAAGGTTTGGTGACCAAAACCCCACAACGGGTGCCGACCAAGTGAGATCTGGTTTCACGAACTTGCAAATACTGCTTCCGAAGCACAGCCACCTGTATCGACACATGCTGGTTTCAGGCGGCTGTGCCCAAAGACAGGAACGAATGCAGGCCTCCAAGATTGCCTACCAGCGTGCAGCAGACTCTTTCAGCGGGCAAAGGCTAGTAGTTTTGATTTCGGTGATCTTCACCGGAAGTGCTGATCGAGTGAGAAAAATGCCCATTTAAAAATGAGACTAGCCTTCCAATAATGAAGATGTGGTTGCTAGATAGATGACAGTAGAGGCTTCAAAAATATTTTAACATTATGAACTAGTTTCATGTTTCATTTTACTCTCCAAATAAGGTTTTTTTCTTTTTATTTTTTTTTACACAGTGCCGCACTACCAGCACAAGGACACTAAGAAATATGTATGTATCAGTGGGGTTGGCAGTGCTCAATCTCCTCAACAGACCTCAATCTATTCGAAACATGTACATTTTGTATGTCTGTATATATACACATACATATAAACACATATACAGCTTACATAGAGGAGGAGTCAGACCTCCCTCTCACTTCCTCCGGAATAAATTTGTGGCTACGCTTTTTTATGTACATCTATTTTATTACTAAGCTTCATGTAAATGTTGGCATAGCGATGCTTACCTCAACGAGAATACCTCGAAAGCTTGGTCCCATTGAAACACTGCCCACTTTGATGAGGAAGTCTGCAAGTTCGTACCGGGGGCCACGCGATTCAATCTTGGGAGACTTCTTGGCGCTGTAGATGCCAGCCATCTTGAGCATGAGCATGTCGAATGTGATGTCCGCGACGAGGCACATGCCGGTATCGAGCAGCGCGAAGCATGTTGCCGGGTGCTCAGTGTCGTGGATGATGTTCACAGAATGACTGGGATCTGAAAAGTGCCATATTTTAAAAATTTTTCAAGAAGTAACAAGTCCTGTGACCTTTTTCTTATGTGCTAAAGCTATGATGCGGTTATGAGGCATGCAGTAGTGTGAAACTTCGCCTTTACATTAGGCCATCGCGTTAAACAGGCATTCACGCATTTCACCTTAATCCGCCTTTTTCATTTTCCTGTGCTCTGATCTGCTATTTTGGTAGGGGACAAAACAATCAGTATAGCCAAAAACAGAACCTCCGAGATCAAGACGCGTTTCGCGACTTCCCCACTAGGGAAACAGCGCATGCGCCGTGGAACCGTAAAAACATGCCACAAAACACGGCTGCCGTAGGCGGACTATCAAGCCCACGCCCTCGTGTTTGTAAACGTAGCGCCACGGCTCGAGTCATCGTGACGGGCCGCTATTGAACAAGAAGGGAAATCTGGGCCGCTATTGATAAAGTATTGAAGTGCGCACTGAACGTTTCCTGAAGTGTTGAACCAAGTGTGTAAAAGTACTACACTACAGCGCGACACGCCAAAATGAGGTGCTTGATAGGACTTCCTGCAGCAATCTACAAGCAACACTGCACTTTTCATGAATAATGAGTTATAGAAACAGGAAGGATATGATGCTCGTACAGTAAGGCACGACGGTGCCAACTGACAGGCAGAGCAACGATAAGAAGCTCATTTACTTACTAATATTAGGTGAACTGTAGTACGTTTCGCAGTCCACAGTGAATGTGCCTTCTCGAACGGCTCCCAACGTTTCAAGACGCTTCTGGAGAAGTTCCGCGGCTTGCTGCCCGCTTTTGCCTTCTGGTATTGGAAATTGATGAATGCTAGGGGAGGTTCGAAAAGAGCAACAACATTGACAGAACATCACTAACTTAGTTTGAGGAGAGGCTTGTCATGGCTGCAAGAATGAGTTAAAGTAACGGTTACCTTACCTCACGACGCCCATAGTGAAAACACAGCGAATCTGCGAGTAGAAACGCGAAACATTCACGAAATTCTTAGCGGCTCATTGCAGTGTGCGAAGTATGCAAACTTGCGTGCGCCGCCATTACTGCAGCGACTGTCGCGCCACCTAATCTCAAGCGCTTTTTTGAATGAATTTGAACGCCAATTATTATAATTATCTTGCTATAAACTAAGCAAAACAATATTACTTTTTACACACATATAATGTAACTTGTATATTGCATTCTAACTATAACAGCTGATTAGGGTAAGCGCGCACTTCAGAAATCGTCTGCACACTTGATGCGTTGGCAGCGGTCAGTTTCCCGTGCCGCTGGCCGTGTTTCGCCTATGCGGTTGCTGTCAAACACTTTGCATGTTGCGACGATTGCTCGAAGGAGCCGCCTCTATGAATACTTTAACACAGTTACGTAGGCTTCGTGCGACTATTTGAGCCCGTTTCATCCGATGCACGGCGACCGCAGTGTCAAGTTCGCACAGGCGTTCACGGCTGGGCTCTTGGTCAGCGAGCATAAAGCGAGTGCATTGTTCGAAACCTCGCCGATATCACTTGTTTAAAGTCAATGCGGTGCATTAGTTTCGGTAAGTGTCTGCGGATCTTGGCCATCGCGATTGAACGCCGCATATGCAATAACGGATCTACCGATTCCTTTCCGTCCGTGGAGTTTAGGTCCGCAAGGGCATTTCGAGTTGCATCGACATGGGAAATGCCGAAACTCACGAGGGAACACCTCCACCAGACCTGCTCAACAGGCATCTCGACCTGAGCGTCAAAGTCGATGACCGCTCTTTCCACAAGGTATACATAACGCGCAAAACATATTTGCACATGCCCGTGCAGTTAGCGCACGCGAAACGAATTTAACTCATTTGTGTACGATAGCTTATGAGTAATTTAAGCAGCTGCCTACCCGAGAGAGAAAGAGAGAAGAATTTGCGCTAGTGCTAATTGGGAAAAACAACGTGTCATTATGTGTGCTCCCGGGGGCAGTATCTGGGACGACCATTTTAGAGGATACTTTATGTCTTGGCGTATGACAATAGTATGACTTAACCCGTGACAACCAACTAGAGCTCAAGACGCGCATACGCACAACCTAGATCGCATAATTCCTATGCACTCACCTTGTCGCGGGCGGTGTCTTAATGGAGAAAGTATAATACTATCGCTGAAAGTGATCGGCCAAGAATACTTTTCATTGACCGATAACGAAAAGGCAATGTAGACACCAAAGCTCACTTATAGACTTACCGCTGAGATTCCAGCACCAGCGCCCTCCTGATGTTTAACAGCCAACAGTATTCAGTTTATGAATGCTTTACTCAAGACCCTTGCCATAATAAGGCACAGCTGTGCAAACTATGAGACCCCCCCCCTCTTTTTTTCTTTGTTATTACAGCACATCAGCGGGGACCACAGTGAAAAGAGCCTCACCGATCTTCCCTGGAGCCTCAGAGATGCCGTGTCGTTGTACGAATCGCTCAATGTATCTTTCAATGAACTGACCACATTGCCTCCCGAGATACCATTCAGACTGCCACACCTACGCGTGTTGGATCTGAGTTACAACCGGCTCAAGTCACTGCCCGACAGTGTCGGCTTTCTCTTCCACCTCGAAGAGCTGCTAATTCCTTTCAACCAGCTCGAGTCCATACCGGATTCAGTAATATATCTAAAGGTGCTTAAAAAGCTCGACCTCTCACACAACTGCATCAAGCAACTCCCCGACAATCTGGGGAAGGTCGCAACTTTGGCCAAACTCAACGTAAGTCACAACAAGCTGGTGTCCCTGCCAAAGTCGCTGGGGAAGCTGCCCAACCTGAAAACGATTCTCGTTGCCGGGAACGCTGACATCACGAGCCCACCCCTAGCGGTCTGCGAGAAGGGTTCAGACGCCGTGCTTCAGCACCTGAGGAAGTCGGTTTACATTCAGGAGAAGCCAACACTGCGAGCCGTCGAATGCAACCAGTTTCCAAGGGTGCGCGGTAACCTGGTCGCGACGTCGGTGCCCAATCTTCACTCGGCACATGCGCAGTACTTACAGATACAGACTGACACGGTAAACACAGCGAGCCGCATCAAGACTCCACTGCTACCACCTATTGGGGCTACCAAGTTGGAGCCAAATATACTTACAGACAGAATAACAGGTTCGTTTTAATGCGAATCGCATGTCTTTGTTGGGTTGCAAACTTTGCAAGTTGTTAATCCTTCACGACACTCAATATAACTGAGTGTCTATAAGTGCAAGAAATTTATATAATTAGATCCCAACATTCTGAAGATTATATTTAGAGCAAGTGGAAATGTTACTAGAAGTTATAGTGTAGTCTACCATGACATGACGTACTCTTACTAAAGTTTGGTGTTTGTTAGATTCTCTGAATCCATTGCACTTCTTAAAATTTGATTAAACCGCCGCCCCAGATTTTCTATGAGTACTGTGCAGCTTCAGTCTGCTTAACATTCCTCTTTATTGTACTAAGTATATTAAGGTGCAGTAATACAATTATAAATTCACACCGATGTGCATCTGTCGGTATTTTTACTTCGGGAATAAATGTTACTTGTTGCGCGCAGGCCTGCTGTACGGAGCTGCCATCGGAGATGCGATAGGAGTTGCGACCGAGTTCATGACTGTGGATGAGTGCGCCTTCTACTATGACACCCAGTGTCTCGAGTATACATCTATAAGGAGAGATGAGCATCGAGTGCAGTGGAAGCAGGGCGACTGGACGTGCAATGCTGACCAGATGGCAAGCTCAACTTTGATTTGGCTCACAGTTTCGTGCGCTATACAGATGAGAAGTAAAAGAAAGTGCATCAAAAGATGATGATTGACCCTATAAAGACTGGAACACATCACTGCATTTAGCTATCAAACCTCAATATGACTGATTGATTGCTTAGAACAAATTATTGGATGTAACAGAAGTAACCTGGAATGTGTGTAGAGGGAAAGAAGCAGCATTTCATTGAGCAGTGGGACACTATCTTAGCGTGAGGAGCAAGCACCGATTGCACGTTGTTGGTGCCAAAACTTCTCCACTATGTCTGTCTCGTCGACGTCAATGAATAAAGATTACCCGCGTGTGTCAAAATCTTATGCGATGGAGGCACTTTTGTGTTTGATGCAACTACATTACGAGGAGGTTTGACAACATTACACTAAACTTTTCATGCCCTTCGGTGTGTGATTATAACATAACCCTGATTGCCATCGTACTTGTGTTTCAATATATATATATATATATATATATATATATATATATATATATATATATATATATATATTCGTTCAGTACAATGCGGTAATGCCATACAAGTATAAAATAGACATAATACAAAAGGAAGTCCCAAAGTGAGGGGGACCTCCTGTTAGTACATCTATCAAAAAGAATGCAGAGCGTTTATTTCTGCTAAGGCTGCTGCACAGGAGTACATTGAAACAAGTGCAAACAAGAAGTAACAAAAATATGTCTACTAATACATTCCAGAAAGCTGTAAAGCCTATAGATTGTAATAATAAATTACAACAGTAGTCATCATTATCTCAGTTTTTTCATCCAATATCGACGATGAAGGCTATTAAATAAGTACAAAAGGAGGAGTTAAAGAAAATTCTGTTTTATAAGCTGTATCGGATTGTGTGCATATTTAGTGTTAGCAATATTTCATCCTGTCCGCATCGAAACGTCATCACTCCAGCCGGTATAGAAACCTGTGAACTTGTGTTAAGTAGAACAGCATACTTGCCGAGCCATCAGTGCCGGTCTCCTCTGACGGTGCACCCATTCACACGCATTGGCTGAAACTCTCCAAAATAGCATATTGCCACTACATAGCAGAAACTAAGCATGAAAAAAAAAAGCGCTACTAACATTCTTTTTTCTCTTTCTCATACTTTGCATATACAAGTTGCATTTTTAAAACATTTTTCTTTCCACTTGTGATGCCTGCTTACAGTTCTTAGTGCTTGATTCGTTGCTGCGATGGGCTGGTGTTGTTGACGAGCTGGATTTTGCAAAGCGGCTGGTGTCCTGGAAACGCTCTGGCGTACCTGAGCTCGGAGACTCCGAAGGTTTCCTGCTGTCTGATCTTACCAAACTGGTTAGTCACATTATATCACTTAGAAAAAGAAGATAATGAATATTATGAAGCATTGCATGTGAGAAACCAATGTGGTGTCTCATAGGAGCATCAAACTAGTCATGCGAATGGTATTTTCATTTCTGGAATGTTTCTTTAACCTGTGGTCTTCTGGACAACTTATTTGTTATTATTCCTTGAAATGAGCTTTAAACAGGTTTTGTTTTATTGAATATTAAAAGCATGTTTTTTTTTCTCTTTGTGACAGGCAAGTAACTTGAAACATCGCTAGGAACTGCTCGAGAAGCTCTTTGAAGATTACAGGGCTCCTATGAAATTCAGTGCTTAGTACTTAGCTATTACAGGTCAAGACATACGGAGTGCGTGTCTCTCTTTTTGTGCCCTTGTTGTGGTGCGCTATACCCATATGAATGATAATTCTGTGGCAGCAAGAATTGTCTGTTCAGCTGGAGCTTGATAAAAGGAATGCTTCTTCATATAAGTGCGCGATAGCAGCAAATTTTTTTTTGTTGTAGCAAGGGTCAAATGTGTCAGTAAAGCAAAGGCAGCACCTCGCACATTGTTTAAGCTGCCATGCTCAAGTAATTGACAGATGCGACCATTCTTCGCCAGATCTGTCACTAGGATATTTTGATATTGTGATGAAGATTGTCGCATCTCCAAAGCTTTCACTTTCCCAGCATTACCATGCAATACCGTTATTTATGATAGGTAATTGTAAGAAGGCGGAAGTTTTGCTGCTAAAACATCAAGGCATTTTACTGTTCAAAGATAATCTAGTACATCATTTCATCAACAGGTGCTTCAAGAGGAAGGCTACATGAATGCCCCGCACCAAGTGGCATTGCAGGTCTTCCAACGAAGCCAGCCTGCCTGCAACAATGGCCTCGGCAAGCAACATGACGTTGGTGCACCAGTTCTTGTTGACAATGGATCTCTGACAAGGGCTATTGCACTAGGTATTCGCTACATAAGGTATTATATAGTTGTTGGTAAAAAAGCGCAAACAACAGGATGCAGGGAAGAAGACACATACACGAGCACTCTTGTATGTCATGTATGCTACGCATACAGCAGCGCTGTTGTACATTTGTGTATGTTGCACGCAGAACAGTTCTGTCGTGTATCCATGTAGCTACAACAATGCTGTCGAGCATCCTGGTCTGTTATACGCACAAATTTGTCGTTGTACATGCACTTATGCTGCATGTACAGCAATGCATCCGTGCACGTTGCACATAAAACAACGCTGCTGTAAATTCACGCACAATATACATGCAGTAGTGCTATGGTATGTTCGTGTATGTTGTGCATACAACAGTGTCTGAGTGCATCCATGCATGTTTTACATACAGCAGTTATGTATGTTCATGCACATTGCTTGTATGTAGAACAGTGCTGCTGCGAATCCGTGCATGTTTTGCCTATTACAGTACTGTTGCATATATTATGTGTGTGCAACAATTTTGTTGTCCATTTATCCTTTTTGTATTATGCTATTTGCGTTGTTTAGTCAGGGCATCGTGGATAAACCAACCGAAATGCGGCATTAACCTTTAGGGCTTTGTAGCAACACAACTTCAATGAGAGTGCCATTTTTTAGGGGGGGGGGGTGGAAGTGACTAGGAAGAAGAAAATGGCTTTCGCCTTTCAGTGATCTTCAGGAAATGCGTGAAAAGCCATGCAACTTATTTTTTATGCGCAGGCATACCAGTGTTCCACAACTTGTCAGAGGTGGCGTCGAATTCTGTGCGAATATGCCTGGCTACCCATCCGGAGGAACAGTGCAAGGCGGCATCTGTGGCCATTTCAACTACCCTCGCGACCATTTTGCAGGTGAATGAGCAGCCAGAAATAATTTGCATCGACGAAAGTCTGCACGAGGTGTTAATTTCACTTCGTGTCCTTCCTCTGCAGGGCAAGCACAACCTGTACAGCTGCGTGGATGTGGATAGGCTACTCGACACCGTGTACGAGCTGTCAGTGAAACAGTTGACGAGTGAGGGCAGCGTCACAAGTTTCAAGAAATGCTTCGAAGCAAGCAGCTTCGAGGGGTAAGCTTTCTTGGAAGAGTGCTCTATATCTCTTTTTTTTGCCCAATTTAAAAGAAGAAAAAATTCAGAGATTTATTATGATAAATTGTCCTCTGAGAACTCTAAATGTCGTTGAATTGAGCATCATAGGCTTATTGATGAAAATCAAAATCAGCTTCGTTCTTGAATTTCATGCCGAGATCTCTGCGTCACAAGTTTTCAAGTGGTTTTTCGTATGATGGTGCTATTGGCTCAACTAAATTTCTTGAAACTTGGTATGTTAATTCTATGTCCGCCTTAGAGGATACTATATGTCATTTTTGCTGATCAGGAGCTACATAAGACTTGGTAGACGTCGCCAAATGTATGACCTCACAGCATTTGGTGCAGGAACTGCAATAGGGTGTAGGTACCTGCTTTTTCTTTTTGCACATCACACTTACCAAGCGACCACTCTCGCAGCAGGTGTGGTAATTTTGGAATCGTGAAAGAGTAATTAAGTAATAATAAAAAATTATTTTCTCTTTAGTTCCCTTCTATCTGATATCTGCAATACTGTATCCTCCAGCAATATGTTTGGTGCTTAGCACTTGCAACCTACATGCGCACCGAAATTTCCCCAACTTGAACAAAGCTTCAGTTACTAGACCACGACCTGTTGAAGTAATGTCTGGCAATGTGTTTCGTTGAATATTTGTTGCAAAATTATGCATGACAGCTGCTACATTTGTGGTTGAGACCTTGTCTAAGAAGTGCTCAGACATAAATTACTGTAGTCCTGCTAATGCATTATGCATATCGCATATTCTGCATGGGATCCCACTTTCATTTTGAGCATACGTAAACATCAGTTATCAGACAGAGAACAGTAGTGCAAGTTCACAACACGTAGCACCTTGCTGACTGTGTTTCAGATCGATCCATATAGTCTGGTACTCGATTCTGCGGGTTAATAGTGTTATATACATGTTCAGAAGTTCAGTAACTTCAACTTTGATCAGCTCAATAGAATACGTGTATTTTCACAAAGCAAATTACATTAGTGAATCTGTGTTCTCAACGAAGGAACTGAGAACACACGAGTGCATTATTCAAAGTCTCGCATATGAAATTTACGTTTTTCGTAGCAAGCTATGGTGCAACGACAACTGCTTAATATTACTAACCTGCCACTGTAGCTTAGCAGCTATGGCAGTGCACTGCTAGGCACAACGTTGCGGGTTTGATTCTAGGCTGTGGTGGCCACAATTTGATGGGATAAAAAATGCATAAATGCCTGTGCACGTAGATTTAGGTGCATGTTAAAGAATCTCAGGTACTTAAAACCAATCTGGAGTCAATCACTATAGCATGCCTCATAATTGTATCACATTCTTGAGATATAAAACACCATAGTTTAGTTAATTAACTAACTTAATTGAAAAATGTGTCATGTTTTTGTGTGTGCAGATTGCAACTGAATGATCAGCAGTCGAGCAGCCATCCATTCAAGGCCTTATCTGCAAGCATCACGGCTCTCAAGCAGTGCGCAGACTACAGGTTAGGACATGTTATGCAGTGTTCAAAAGACACATAGCTTGTATCTTCTAAGCGCTCTGCTTAGAGCTTAAAATTAAACAAGTCTAAGATGAATTCATTGAGTGCACGGGGAAGGAACCTAATGTACAACATACACCCCAAGGCCACCTGCAGCATCACAAAACTCGCGAAGCTTTGTGCGGATCTGTCGCACAGGCAGACATCGCCTGCGTGGGAAACCACAGTGTAAACTAGCACATCTATGGTAATTGGCTAAATGGGCATGCAGGAAAGTGCTATTTACCAAAGCTTCATCCTTCTCACTTTAGCCTTGCACAGTTCCCGAGCATCAGCGGCACAAAGTGCATGAAGCGCACAAAAATTGTTTCACAGCATATTATGGCAATTGTGAAAATTCTTCTAGCATGTTAGTGTTAATTGTTCTTGCAATAATTGCCAATATCAGAATTCAAAAAAATTTTAGCATCAAGATTAGAACGTTCCAACTGGGCTCTAAAGAATGATACTGTGTTCATGTTAACTGGACCTAATGAGACATAGTCAGTTGCACTTATTCTCTTTCCTTGTATACAGCAAATGCCACCGAGATCGGTTCCACAATCGCCTGACAAGAGTGTGAATTTTCTGGGTACGTCGTCAGTGTGGTCGGAGCTAGGTTCTGATGCATTAAAAACTTCATATATAACCGATTTTTACAGTGTTGGATTCTCACAGTAATGTAAAATCTTGTTTAGCATAACCTAGATGTCCGGAGAAGGTATGTTCCATTTGGCAGGAGCTTTATTTAATGAGAAAGACGCACACCATTGCAATTAATGTTGCACAAACATTTACCCCTAGATGTGGTAGTACTTAACATAGGCGATAAGTAACCAATTTACCATATTACGTGCGTGCACAGAGAGCACAATCGCCATCTCTTACTCTGCTTGCTTGGAGATGCTCGCACAATATCAACCTTATCTGTGTGACTATGCGTTCAGACAGCTGGTGCGACAGTTATTGTCGCATGGCGATCCGAAGACCTAACTCACAGAGCTATTTAAAAATGAGAATTAACCCTCATACGAGGAGACCAAAGGAACACCAGCGCATCTATCTGCCTTCTTCCTCGTTCTTGGTTGTGCCACAAAATATTTTGTTCAGCTACATCCTGCCCAATGTTACACACTGCTAAAGCAGCTATTCCACTGAAGCGGTTTTGTTGATTGAGATTCTACTGAACTATGTACATGTTCAGGTCTACCATCAGCTGCCTGGCCATGCAAGGGGGCCATAGCAGCGTAAATGGCTGCCTGGCCGGTGCCTTCCTCGGTTGTCGGGACGGCTTTTCGGCCCTGCCCGAGTCCTGGGTGCAGGGACTGCTGCCGAAGCAGCGCGCGTGGCTCAACGAGCGCGTGAACAGCCTGCTCGACAAGATGGGCCTTCCCTGAATGCTGCTTCTTCTTACTCACCCAGAACTGCCTTCGTTAAGAGTCGGCATCTTCACGACCTAATGCTGATAGTTGGTAGAACTGATTTTAAGTGCTCGTACCGCTACCAATGTACTTATGTCGAGCATAGACGCATAGGACTTTGTAATGCACCTGTGCTGTCTGGTGTGGGCTGCCGGTTCGAGACTTAAACAAGCTTGAATTATTGTGGTACGCATGCAAAGTGGTTTTTGCATGTGCAGGCCATGTAAAAATTCTAGCGCGACATTGGGAATGGCACGGCAGCGTACATGCCTGGTTATTAGATTGCGAACTTTCGTAGCAATGTATTCTAGTAATATGTTTAAGTTTATTTTTTCTTTGACAAGTTGTTACTAACCTTTTTGTATGCTTCTTTCATAATATCTCACGCCTTGGCACTAACTTAGACGTAATCGCATTCCACTAACTTTCCAGCTTTGCAATGTTGAGTGCGCAATATGATAGTATGATGAGGTGAAGCATTTGAAAATCCTAAAGGGTCACTTTCAGTCGGACATTGACTGTAGTGTCTTTGGGAAGTTCAAATAGTTCGAATGCCCCTTCTATTTGTTTTGATTGCTAAGATGACAGAATGTTGAAACTTGGCAAAATTTGATCCAGTACAACCAAGTTTGCTCAAACAGACCCGGCTTCCCCCAGAAAGCTTTCTCATGAGAATGACCATCTATTGTCGCAATGTGCCTTTGTGTGTCACTAACCTGCTGCCAATGTACAGTTTTCGATAAACCATTACTTAGGTTTGTTAATGTGCGATATTCGAGATGATGCATTTGTATTAAACGTGGCCATCTTAGTGTTGATTCAATTGCATTCTCGCATCATTTGTAAAACTTGAGTAGGTCTAATCATGCGCATGGTGAAGGTGAACACAACTGGCTTGGTGAACGAAATTGATGAACCACATATTATTACGACCTTATCAAATTTCTCTTTCTTACTGTCTCCTCATTTAAAGGTGCAGCTGGCAAGTTTGTTGTTCCTACAACTTGAAAAAAATCTAGCTCCTTCATGCTTCTTGTGGTATCTTTAATATTTCATTCATCTGCATGTTGATGAAAAGTGCAGATGCACCACATTCTTAACACAGACAGTTTAACGCTGAAATCAGCATATGAAAGCATATTGACCAACAAATACTTAAAGTCTATAATATTAAAAAAAATTGTTAGGAGTGTGCAATGCTTTGTTTCTATATGTACGTATATATACTACTGTATACCACTTGGTTCAAACTAAAACTTTTTTCCCATATATCTTTTGTAGATAATGCTGATGCATGTATGAAACTTAAAAAAAAAAAGGTTTAAATGTGGCTATTACCTATAAGTCTGAAAACCAGGGTCTCTACTTTTTCATTTTGCACGAACAGGGGATTTGTATAACCTAGAATAGAGAGGTGTTTGTTGTGACTACTGCAGATGATAATGGTAGTGCAATCTTCCTTACCACATTATGAGGAAGTCTTATCTGTGATATGGTACGTACTTGGCGTGGCAGCTTATAGAGCAAAGATTGTAGTGTTCATTATTTTGTATGTTTATGTACACTTGAACAAAATAAAAAAAATAAAAGAAAGCATGATGCAGTGGTTGCAAGTAGTACTAGGGCTTTTTCCAGCTTGGTAGCCCCAGTTTTTGAAAGGATCTAGCAATGCTTCGAAAAACACTGCCAGCTTTTGAGTTCCATCAAGGAGCTTCACCAAAAACTGCCAACCAGTTACAACACCAGCTGTTTAAATTTTCTTTACACTCAGACACATTGCACTTGCATGAGTAGTGCAAGATGTGCCCACATGTGGCATCAGGGGTCGGCATTCTGTCACTCTCATCAATATGAAACGAATGAGAATGGCTTCATGCAGCTTTGCTGGTTGATACTGAAGGCAATGTTATACATTACACTTCTTTGCTGCTTGCTGCATTGTGTCGGGTGATAATCGACAAGTCAACTAGCCTTGCCAGTTACCACACATTGCAACACAACAGCGTTGCATCCTGCGCGTAATTGCGAGCAAACTACGCTTGCCTAGCTGTGCATTGAAGGTAATGAAAGCAAGTTATGCAAGACTTCCTGAGCCTTTTCTTGAACACTCAAGAAATTTTGGACATATATTAAAATGCAAGAAAGTGGCAATTGCTTAATTAAAAATAGCAATTAATTTTGTGGTGTCCATCACCGACATTGTACATATGCTCCCTTCGGTTATTGAACTGTCAAGATCATCAATCTTACGTGTGAATGACAGATCACTGACACACTAGGAGCAAGAATAAAAGCGCAGCATTTCCAGTCTGCAGACAGCTGCTACAATCACAAAGCAACCCAAGTGGGCCTGATGGTAATACCTGTTAATAATGTTTACGAGTGCTTGTAATGCCATTGTGAAACTAGCTGTATCGGATATCGATGTAAGAGAGGAATAAAAATCAACTTGAAGGAGAACAAGGTTACCATATTCAGAAAATACCAAATTCCAGATTTACAGGCAATGAAGCAGAAATGTGACATTTCTTATAAAACTTCTAAAAATACATCTTGCAGTAAGTAGTGAGGTGGGCGAGTTGTGAACAATGCATGTTTGTAAAAATCAGCCCAAAAAAAGATAGCGCACAAGATGAGACCGTGTCATCTTGTGCTGCGTCCTCTTCGCACCGATTTTAACAAACATGCCATATACTACATCGCTTTCAGATTTACCTCCCTTGGGACCAATTCCACTTTTCTAGCTGTTCACTGAAACGACCAATTGATAACTTCATGTGTTGTGTGCTGTTTTATGTTAATTACAGGCAGCTGGCACTTTTTTCTTTACTAATTTTCACTCTTTGAGGATACTATTTAGGCACATTTAAATATTTTTTTGTGCAACTTGTCTGTTCCTAGCAAATAAATGTACTACAAGATATTGTACTGTATTGTGTGCAATGTCTTGATGACTGGATGATTAAAGCCGGTTCAATGGTGTCTTGGAATATTTTTGTTATGCTTGTTCTTGGGTTAAGGTTCTCGTGTATCACATGCATTTACACTCATGTTCTGTATGACAGTTTGTAAGCTTCTTCAATGCATATCCCGCTTCTCTTTTGGATAAAGTTTGGTCTTGGTGACGGCCAGAAACCCTCATATTTCCAGTAATTTCATAAATCAACCAGAACTTCTTTAACAATGTCAAAAGAGAAGTGACACCAACTTTACGCATGTCCCGTTTTTTGCAACAACACATACTAGTTGTCGATTTACTAGTAACAATTCATATATTATTTATATGTAATATATGTAGTATTGATTAGTAGGACCAGCATCGAACCCAATTCAAAACAGCTGCAAAGCCCGCCATTTTTCAGCGCTGCCAAGCGGTCACCTCCCGCAGCCCCGCCCCAATTGAAAATGCGGCCACACAAAAAGGTGACGCGTTCTTCAGTTGAAATTTCATCTGCTTGGCATGCACGTCCATCATAAGAGTCTAAAAGCGGCGATGAAAACACAGAGGAATATGAAATCGTGGCAATTCGCGGCATGGTGAATGATTTTTGGGTTTGATCCTCTTCTGAGCAGCGATTCTGAAATCGATGCCGGACTGAGCAGCGACGAGTCAACTGGAGACGCACGCCTGAGCCGCGCTGGCTTGTAAGACATATGAATGCTGGGTGCGTGTCCCTTGTTTGCGATGACCATAGCTTCAAATAATCGCATTCGTGTTCACGACACCATGACAAATCACCCGAAGCGGCACAACGAAAACACAGGATTCGTACTAATGCGCTGCACGAAGCAAGCGAAACAAAGCAAATGAAGCTGTTGCTAAGCAACCAGGCGTCGCCGCCAGACTGTACCATATGTAAACACCACGATGACAACACTGAAATTGTCGACGTCATCGCTGCTCGCTTATCGTCACTTGGCGCCTGAGGGCTGGTCTAGAAGCTCGCTGAGCACGTCAAAATACTGTCCATGTCTCGTGGCCGGCAAAGCACTAATGAGCCTTGGATGCTCTTGCATTCAAAATAGCATAATTTCTGCTTAACATACACGATTCATAGTTCGCTAAAAAAAACTCATGTGTACCAAGCAATCGAATGAACTCCACATCTCCAGTTTGAAACTTAATGTCACTGCTCTTTTAATAGTGTAATTTCAGAATGTTAAAATCAGCTAGTGCTTCTGCTAATGAAAAAAATAAAAAGAAAGGGAAATATTTTCATGTATAATGTGAAGAACCAATGAAATAACAGCTGGCAAAACATTGCACACTGTTTCACAGTGACAATACTAGTAAGCAATCGCTGGTGTGTGTGACATACTATCAAAATGAATCAGTATGACAAAAGCAAGTTTGAGCAAGCACAGTCCATGAAAACGTTGAAGGCATCAGTAACCACTTTTCCAACTATAATTACGGTATGACCTCAGTATCAGGGTCTCTTGCCTCGCAAATTAATAGCCGCAAAAATTTCTCATGTCCATTCAGAACGAGCGGAGTTGCAGGTCAATGTCGCGTTTTCTCTCTCCTCTAGTGGTGACAAGCACTCTAGAAGTTAAGCAGGAAGGGATGGCATGAGCGAAAAAAGTTGTGTCAGTGCACGTACAACACACACAGGTGAACGTGAGCCGGTCCCTGGGAACAGTGCCTCCAATCTACGTGCAGGGTCTCCGAAACCTGAGAGAAAGAGAAAGACAGCCTAGGACAAGACCCGTTGACGCTTACCTCGCCATTACAGTCACCCCCAAGGAACGGACCAAGCCAGTCTCGAAACGTCGGGTTTTCTACAAGATTGTTGCTGGAGGTAATTCAGCTTGCTTAGTAATGAAACATGTCTGCTCTTTCTAGTCGTTATTCCTAATTGCACGAGTACGGTTCATTGTGTAATGTTAGCAGACTATTATCAAGTGTGGCGCCGTAAAATGGGAGCACCCCAAGGTAAGAAACACCAACAACATCCAAACAACCCTCTTGATTTATGTCGGCTATTTGGCTAATGGCATGCTATTTTGTGTTTGATGTTAAACAGCGAGCACCGGCAGCCCCGAAGCAAGCTAGGACGGACTGCTGTATAAAGAGAGCCTCACAAAATGGCAACTTCGTGCTTTGCTGGTGAACCATCCTTGCCGTTCATGATTACAAGATTTGGCCAAGATGTTTAGCACCACATCTGCTTTCTGCAGCATGTGTTTTATCGCCAAGCCCAAGAGGTGGTTTGTGACCCCCTTTAGAGACTCTTCACAAAAAGGGCATTTTTTTCCGGTCACAACGAGACTCGGTACAAAATCTACACCCAGTGTTATAGTGAACCAGCAACAAATTTACATTTTATTCCATCAGGCTGAGTGCTTTGCACTCTTCCCCGTCATGACCCTCATAAAAGGGGGCAGGCTTCCCAACTTCGGGATCATACGTCCACTTGGGGAACATGCGTTTGTACAGGTGCATCAGCACGGTGTCCTGTGACTTCAGCTGGCCGTTGAAGACACACTTCATGTGTCCATGTGTGCCTGAGGAAAAGCACACCAAATCATGCCCATTTGTTCTCATGAGAGAAGACGAAGAGCAAAAAAAAAAAAAAAAAAAAAAAAAAAAAAAAAAAAAAAAACCACGGGCTGAAGCAATGAAAACAATGCTAGGCATTGTCATTCGTATGACCATAATGCAAGCTGGATTGCAATATAGACTGCGAATGGAACAAGTACACAACAACATTGAACTACACGTGTAATTGTGGTGTTCGCTTGACTCTCACTGTAATTTCTGCAACTGAAACTTGACCGAATGATGAGCAACACAGTGACATGATTACATTAAACCACTTGGTGTTAGTGAGAAGCTTCTATTCCTGCCCAGTACATGATGGCTTTCACATCCATTGTAAGGTTCAGAAACGTCAAGTGCTGACAAGTCTGGGTGTTAAGGTACAGAGAATGTGTACAGGAAGTACAGATGAATGTTTCCCAATCTATTATGTTTTTGCACTAACATATACATATGCAGTAACATATCATGTATTATGTTTTGGCAGTAACAAGTACATTAATTTATCTATAAAAAGAACAAAATGGAGAGGTTGAGTACAACAAGTGCTATTTAAATTTTCAAAGAAATCAGTTGCACAATTTGATATGGTAAACATGTAGGAAGACCCTACAAAGATAGCTAGTAGGGTTTTCTCAAGAAACAAAAATTTGATAGCACACTTCCAGGAATAAAGAACTAACTTCATGCCACTTTGCTCCAATTAAGCAGCTGGAAAGATTCCTTTCCTGGTTTTAAACGGAATGAATGAATGTATGAATGAATGAATCAATCAAAAGCCTACAAAATAAGGGTGAGGAAGAACATACCAAGCGCTTCCTTAATGTGCCCCCTCCTTCCATACTTAGTCTTGAGTTCCACAGGTTTGAACCACATGATATCATCTGTTTCAAAAGACAAAATACAAAGCAGTGAGAAAAACAAGGTTGTTGTCCTCTTGCTCGTCTCCCCACAAAAAATTTTTCCCGAAACATGATAGGTCAGCTTTGAGACAAGCATATGCCACTGTAAATGCATACTTTCTATTACTACAGCAACTAAAATATATACTCGTACACATCAGTACAAGATACACGTAAGCCAAACAATACACAAAAGCCACATAATCGACTCACCCCTGTCGAAGAACATGTAACGAACGACAGCAGACTTGCGGTTGATCTTGAAAGGGTGGCCACTCAGCACGGCTCGTTTGACGACAACGCGATCTGGATTGGCGCCAAGCACAGCGCCCGAGCCAACGAGCCTGTGTTGACCTATAAAAAATTGGGAGAGTATATTACGCATTCAGAAAAACTCGAAAATTGTATTGCTGCACCGTACACATTGCTGCTGCCATAAATATGCGAACAATTTGTGTCACGATTTCGCAAGACAACAGCCACCAAAAAACTCTAAGTATGTATATCGGTCCTTCGTGTAGTCTTGTCTATAGGTGTACAAAGAGGCTTCTTGAATTTGAAGTCAAGGCATCTTAATAACGTGAACTTTCCAACTAAGTTGACATGATTACAACAGCTAAAGTGATGTGAAACACATGGGACAAAAAGAACGATATAATAGATGACCAAGGCTACGTGCCACCATGCCTTACTTTTTGTTCTGCGTGCCTTGAGCTATTATAGATGTAACAACAAATTCAAACATTGACCTAGGTGCAAGTTGAAATGCTTTAGTCAATGAATCAGTTGACTTTCAAAACTACAAGAAATTCAATTAAGATTCTAGTTTAGTGGATGTCGATAATGTTACTAAGTCCATAAGTTATAAGTGCATTTACAGATGTCTCCCAGCACAAATTTAGGTCACCAACAAGATTAAATTACGCCTACATCTGTATTACAGTGCTTTCAAGATATAATGCTTATGTCAGCATTAACCCAAAGTTATATTTTCTCAAGCATTTTTTTGTTACGTTCCTACTGAGCGTTAATAGCGCTTATCATGGCTAAATACCATCATCGTCCTCGATGAAGACCACCGCTGAAGCAGGCGGGAAGATGATGGGCGCAAACATCGTTGCAACTGACACTGCGTCACTTCGTAAGAACCTGTCATACTGCAAAGAAATCAGAGTGTGAAAAAGAGGTATTAATGCTGTACATCTGTTTAGGACCTCCCAATCAACCACATTTTCTATATGTTTGTACATGCACATACAAGCAAGCCAAATTAAACAATTTCGGGGGAAGGGGGGATGTTTGAGCACACCCGCCTGGCTACACCACTGGAGTTTATAATGTAGTAATGCAGGTGCTGCCTTGCTTAACATTCATAAGTCACTAGTTTTTCTTTATCGGCATCCAAAACTAAGCGCATGCCCAATGATGTTCAGTTGGGCTGATCGCGCAGAAAAGATGAGCGTCTTATACTATGGGACGACTTAAGTATGAATTTTTTTATGAAAACGTGCTAGAATAGTGGGGTGCGCCTTATACAACGGTGCGACTTATAATCAGGAAAGTACGGTAACTCTAAGTGACAAAGTATGGAAGCAACAAAGACCAGATAACCTCCTCATTTCACAACGGACGCTTTTCATAAGCTACAAGTGTGTTTCACTGCCCTGCACTTTCACCCTATTAATGATAGCATCTGTCGTGCTTTATGTGGAGAGGAGGCTCTAGTTGCATGTGCTGGGGTTAGTCAATTATGCGTGCTTGTATCATAAGAGCCCAGTCTACATTGCACATGTCATAGTGCAATCAAACTGCGCTTCAACACGATGTTTGCAGAAATTACTAGCCACCATCAGTAGCGCTAACTGCATCGCAGAAAAGCTACCTTTACAATTACGAAAAGGGTCTATAGTTCTAGCGAAACTGCATAAAGGTCTGAAAGAAACAGTGCGCTCACCTTGTGCTTGTCCCCGTTGGTGTGCGCCGAGAAGATGGGGCATGCAGAGAAGCGGCGATAACCGATGTGGAACACCAGCCGCTCCTTGGACTTTATGGGGTTGGTGTAGCCGGGGTGCCGCTTGATGGCCACGTTCAGCACCGACATCTTTTGCTCATGCGGCAGCAGGCCAAACAGCACCAGCGGATCCCCCCGCGTCTGAAACTCATCTTTTGTCAAGATGGTAAAGGGGTCAGCATCGTCAGTATCAGAAGGAGTTGGTACAATCGAATGTTTCTAGCTGAAACGTGAACCTTACACGAATCGCCACGACTAATGCGGTGGTGCTGAATAGTATGTATATCTGTCTTGCCTGTCACGTAAGGATAAGTTATAAGGGAAGCGTCTGCACATAATGTTACTAACACAGCAAAAATATATAGGTTGGAATGACTTCCAAATGCCCGTGTAAAATGCACGGGTATAAGCCAGAGGAAAGAGTTCAAAGCTCAGAGCTTCTCATGATCTGCATTGCGGTGCATTCAGCTGCATGGGGACCAGCCTTATCTAGAGGTTAAATTACAGGAAAACAATTAAGGGGGTTTTTAAGACTGCGAAGATGATGTGGACGACGCACAAAAGCATGAAAGGCATTGTTCGATTGACTGCATATTGTCAATCAATCAACCAACCAATCAATGAATAAGTTTTTATCATGATAATTACACTGCCAGTGCCTCGAAAAAAAAAAAAGCAAAATTAACTAATCCTCCCAGTTTCCCCACATGAAACATGGAATCAGAACAACATAACCAGACAGTGACACTCTAGATGCTTACCATAAATATTTCGTGGGACATTAGCGATGTGCACGGTGACGTACCAGCCAGGCTGCAAAAAGTGAACAGCTTTTGTCATTCACGAAGGAGAAAAAACGAATCTCTACACATTTCGTGTAATAGGAGTAGGTCCATTCAAGTCAGAAACAAGTTTACAGGCAAAATTGGATTAACCAGCCATGTGTAAAACTAATTTCATAAACTTTACCCACCGGCTTGTAGAATTTGAACGAAACCAAGTGATCTCACTGTCAATCGAGTTTCTTGAATGCAAAAGGAGACACTGGTGAAATATGTTTACTTGCACACCCTGAGCAAGCAGGAAAATTACATTGTCAGTCATGAAACGATCAGTTAAACGAAAAATAATTTACTCTGCACATGAAATTTTAAAAATTTCTGTCTAAGGCGGGCAAAAAGGAGAAACCTAACTTTTAACACTAGTGCGTCCAGTGAGTTGAAAAACTAATTGTTGTCACGAGCTGAACAACACTACTATAGCAAATGCTAGGACCTCTAGTTTTTTTACTCCGGTCAAGCGCTGTGTCCTCGGTTCTTGCTTCGTCTAATTAGTTTTTTGTGTGTAATAGAGAAACAACCAGTTTGAACCTTCACAATAATAAGTTAACCCTGTAATATACAATGGAAAGAAAATTTCAACAATACGCAGGCAGAAACGGGCAAGTTAAGGGACGGCACACCTACCATGGCACCTTCCTTTTCTTCAGACAAGACCCGTTTCTTGGTCCTCGCAAAGTTCTCAAACTGGAACACACGGGCGTAGTCGAGAGGAAGGTTCTCTTTGGGATCCCAAGGAGACGAGTGAAAGCTCTTCAAGCCACGATACCTGCGTGACGTAGACGTGCGGTCAGGCGTCGAAAGACTGGGTGCTACGCAACACACAGCATTGCATAGAGTGCAGAAACACTGAAAAGTACTACAAAAAAAAAAAGGCAGCTTTGCATATAAGCAGTGCCAAGCCTGAAGGAAGTGTGGGACTCGGCAGCCTTTTTTGCTTCTCTTTGCTTTTCTTTTCCTTCCCTCTTTTAGTATTTTTTTCTTTTTCCTTGCTACAAAAATTTAATAATGCAGCTTAAAGGGACACTAAAGTCAACTATCAAGTCGAAGTTGATTGTTAAAATGGTGGTCCGGAAACCTCGTAGCATTACTTTTGTACCAAGGAAGGGCCTGCTTCGAAATAAAATCCTGTTTTAGCGCTCCGCATCCAATTAGCACACTTGAAAACTACCGCATATGCGGACCGATCGTTCCAGACTCACGTCACTGTTGCCATGCGCAACGTTGCCTGGCTTTACTGCGTTAGTAGCAGACCAAAAGCAGCGGGAGCCATAGCAGCAACAACGGCCATTGATCAATTTCCCGCCACTGACTCCAAGATTGCAGACGTTTTTTGTTTCAACTGTGCTCCGCTAGATGGCACGACCTGTCCATAGAATTTTTGATTCACTTGCGCCATTTCTCATAGTAATATCCGGCAGTTCTTTTTTTTTTCATGAATCAAACAGGAACGTACAAGCAGAATTTTGTTGCATTTCTTGATCCATGGAAGGTTCTTTATTTAGTGCAGTTAGATCGATTGCTAGTGGTTAACTGTAGGCGGCCCGTCTATAAAGTCATCGAGATCATTTTGAAAATGTCCTACTGCGGCGCATGTGTTCTTGTGCATTCACCTTAATTTCTCTGTAAGCAGGGCACTTTCTTTAATAATATTGTCGTTTTAGTTGTCATGCATTGAGCTTTCACTCTGATGCAAATTGTTATTTTACTTTAGTGTCCCTTTAAGGGAGAACTATGGGAGAAAAGACTGTAGTATAGTTTGTTTTTATGTCTGTGCCAGCTCATGAAACCGTACTTGCTTACCTCGCAAACCTCTTTCGCGCGGACTGGTCGAGGGGAGTGTCGATTTCATCGGGAAACATCTGGTCCATGCGCTCCTCCCTGAACCTCACCAGACTAAAGAAAGAAAGAAAGCGATTTCGTAAGGGCATCAGCACTGCTTTCAATGTATACGAACACTTTTACATGAAATCGAGCATGATGAAAAGATACAAATATTTGCATACTGAAAGGTATCATGCCTAACATGAGGCGATTTAGGCGTATCTGGCTTTAAATGAAGAATACGGGCTTTGTATTTCCAACAAGAAGTAGCAAAGTCGTCGCTGAAGGTGAAATATGGGCCTAGTTTCCTTGCTTAATGAAGAGGCACACCCAGTGGAGCATTGCGAAATATAAAAAGATATGCGGATTTGTTTATTCATTTATTTATTACACCCTAAATGTCTGAGGGCATTACAGAGAGCTGCTTTATAAGTGTAACAGAGATAAACTAGTCAGTCAACATGAAAGGTATCCAATGTCAAGATCCTTATCAACTTTGCTTTTGAATATGTGATTCACGAGAAAGGGAAGAGGAGGTGGCAAGCAATTCCAGCGATAACGTTGTAAGAGAACCTCTCACCTAGCCTTTTCCTCTTCTAAATCGAGATGGTTGTCATAGCCCTCCTTTCCACCCGCAATTGAGATCTGAAATGCATTTCATATCATGCAGAATGGCTTGAGCAAAATGGACCACTGAATGCAAAACACGATTTCTAGCGGCATGTACATAAGAAACCAAAAGAGATTTTTCGTGCACTACGTTGTCTTCAGCACCGAAGAAACCAAATTCTACAGCATAAAGAATCCGCTTTATTGTTGTATACTTAAGAACATCTGCTCACATGCAATGCAAGCATTAAACTTAACAGACGGCTTACAGCAGTCCACTACTCTCAAGACCAGGAAATGCTTACAACAAGCAAAGCGAGTGCGAATAACACAAGAGCTCGGTTCCAAGACAAGTAAGGCTCAATGGTTGACGAAATTGGTTTGGCAGGCTTGTGTAACTTATCAACCACTACTACCTGCAATCGAAATAGCAAGCCTGTAGCCCTGTTATTGAAACACATGCTGCCGGTTGTGATCAAAAGTATTAATAATCTTAATTAAGCTACATAAAACTGGCCCAACTACAAACAATCCTTTAAATTTTTTTTTCTTTATTCTTCTAATATGGTACATGGCAGCAGTCATGGGCACATTACCAGTAATAAGTAACAGTGTTACAGTTATCGATTTTCTAAAAGTAACTTGTTACAGTTACAGTGAAAAAGTAACGTCCTTACTTTTCTGTTAATGTATAAAAATTGATTCAAAACAAATGATATATTTTAATTAATAAAGACGTAGGAAGGCATGCAGGTAGTGAAAGTTGCATGTTGTGAAACCCTAGAACGATGCTGCACAGAACCATAGTTTTGACCTAAACAATGTGTGTGTGTGTGAGGGGGGGGGGGGGGTTGGGGGCTTCAGGAAACGTGGTTCATTTGCTACGGCGCACCAGCTTGCAACAGCAACCCGCAGCCCCCTACCGAGCGTTTGCACGAACATGTGTGACTAATGAACTTGCCGACCTCCGCTTAATTTTATTTTTTGCCAGTGTCTACTGAGGATACCACCTGCATAGGAGGCGAAACGTCAATCACTTTGTTTATAATTGTTCTGTTAACTCGAAGTAGAGCTGTCACAGTCAGTTACAAACCCATTTCAAATTCTTCAGGCTTTAAGCAGTTTCATGCTGCTGTTTTCTAGCCACCTGTCAAACGCGACTTGCTGGAAGCCTCAGATGTAGGAATGCTCATCGACATACCAAGAAAAGAGATAAAAGTTCAAGTGACAAAAAAGAGATGTATATATATATAAATATTCCCCTTCCCCACAAAAAGAAAAGTCTGGGGAAGGGCAAGTGAACTTGGCAAGGTGTTCAGTGGCGACATTATTGATTTACGACACGTTGTTTTACAAATAAACATACCCTCCAGACACACTTCGCTTCAAACCGGCCAGACAGGCCTTTGTCAAATATGTTTACCTTAAGACATGTAGTATACAAGTAAACTCCGAACTCGCTCTTCTGCCGGGAAGATATTCCTCTTAGCGACCTGTTCTATTAAACTGCGATGCCTAACCCCTCTAGTACTCGCCTTAAAGGGCCACTCACCAGGTTTGACAATTTTGAGCTGACAAGCGCAATACGTAGATAGGGTGTTCGCAATTACGTCGGCCCAAATTTGCAATGCTACGCGCCGCAAAAATCAGTAAAATTTCAAGATAAATGCTGCTCCCCCTTTCTTTTGCTTCGGCACCCAGAGAATGAGGGCATGACATGCACGCATGAATGACCCTACGTACACGGCAGTGCAGCGACGTTGATCCTCTTCGTAGACGACTGTGCTCTGACATTGCCAACAGTGGCACGTGGCATGATGAAAATTATTTAACATGACAAGTGTAGTTTGTGTAATTTGTAGCTTGAAGAGATTAATAAAACTCTAGATAAATGATGAGACGCTATAAACAAATGTGCACGTTTTCTTTTCATTTTTTCCTTGTGGATTTAAACGAGATGAGGGGCTAATGCGCTGGCATTTCGCATGTGTTCGTGTTCCCGTGGTCAGCGCATCGAGCAGACGACAGCTGTGGAAGCGAAAGTAACGCTCCTATGCATTCGCGCACCCATTGTGCTCATCTGTTCCACCACGTCTAAGCTAGCGTTTGCAAACTATCTTGCAGAAACAAGCAGTAGACCACAATACAATGTTGGTCAAACAAACAAACAAACGCCGCTCGCGTGCTTAGGGGTTGTTCGGGCACGTCATGCGGACGTGACCTTGTGGTCGGATGCCGGAGAGGGTCACGCGGTGGAGCGGCAGGGGTTTCGAGCTCACTTTCTCTCATCATTGTTTCGTGCCATTTCAAAAAAGCAGTTCTCTCAGCTCGTAATGAACCGACTGAAAAAAATTTTGTGGCATAATGCTCCTTTGGACACAACAATTTCCACGGTCTAAAAAAAATTTGTTATGGGGCCTGGTGAGTGGCGCTTTAAAGGAGCTGTAGAGCCCTTCTGTAAGTACTCGTTGGACAACCTGACTATCGGAGTTCAATGCTTCAAGAACTGACAATCGCAAAAATTTTTAGAATCTATAAAGCACAAGTGGAGTAACAGCGATTTGCCGCAGGGGGAATTACAAGAGAGCAAGTAGGTAAGTCCCTACAGCAGCTCATATCAAGATCATGAGCACTTTTTTTTCTTTTTTTTTTCCTTTGAATGCACGGCTCACTTTTAATGAGATCCTGAGTGTACTGGTGTAACTCTCAGTCATGCGTATTTTTAGCCCTGCAGAACATAGCGCGGTTGCACTGTGACACTCTACAACAGCTTACAGTGCCCTGACGGCAACTAAGCAGATACTCAGTTCAGCCAATGGCAATAAGTACGATTTGGCTTATACCCTGACACTCGGACTGCATAAAGTCTTTTACACAAAGGGACATCTTTCAGAAAGGCGTTCGGGCGCAGTGACACATGACAAAGGAGTGACACCTTTTGTAGCAGATTCTTTCTGGAAAAGCCACAGAAAAGCAGACCCCGCACCTACTTTTTTTCGTGCAGTAAGGGAGTACTCTCACATACAGCGTGCATCGTTTTTCAATAGAAGAAAACATGTCGAAACACTGAGGTAACCTGTGAGTATATTTTTGCGCTGAGAAAAAGTTTTCATTTTCAGCAGTAATGCGACTTGTTGAAAGTGAAGGTTTACAGCCTACCTACACTCTCAAATGCCAGCATTCTGTCACTAACAATGCCATGTTAGTGTTGGCAGTGGCAGTTGCCGTGTGCTGCTAGTGTGCAGCAAGAGACGCTCACTGGTGTTCCTGCCATACACAATCTGCGTCCCAGAAAAACGCTTGGCAAAAAGCGCATAAAGAGCAAGTCAGTTGTGCGCTGGGCTATCGTTGACCTTTCGTGGCACACTCTTCTTTTGTGCGCAGTTGTTTACTCTTGTGATGTAAAGGCGTGTCTCTGCGCTCCTTTAGAAAAAAAAATGGCAGCATATCCACGGAGTGAATGATGGATAGTGGGGCGAAGCATCCGTCCGTCCATTCGTTCTTGCTTCCGTTCATCCATGCGTGCGTCTGTGTGGCTGCCCGTGCGTCCACCCGCACGTCTGTGGGTGCGTCTGTTCGTGCGTCTGCACGTCCATCTGTGCGTCTGTCCCTGCGTTCGTTTATCCAACTTCCCCTGCGTCCATCCGCCCATGCGTCTGTCCATGCATCTGCCTGTGTGTCCGTTCGTCTATCTAGTCAACACTCCAAGTACCACCATCTCGCAACTTTTCATCATATATTCCTCATATAGAAGCACCGCCATCCAGCGGACATTCCAAGGGCTGAACGAGATGAGGCCCACGCACACCTTTTTACGGCTTGCGCTTCCTGTCTACTTCCCACCTTTAACCACCTCGAGTTCATGGTATATACTAGTTTGCTGTATTCATAGCACTGTGGCCCAACGCTCGCTAAACCTTTCTAAAATCTAGGAGGTTACGCCCAGCAAGTATAACGTAGCAACCCTTTCTTGTCTTCTGTGCGTTGTATTTTTTGTGAACAACAAAAAATTTGCAACGTGCGCATTAACTAAAAGTTGAATTCTCCCGTCTCTCATTCCCCCTTTGCAGCCATTGGCATGTACATTGAGCACTATCTTTTATTGTTCAACAACGCACAAAAGAAATCTCTCACTGGCACCACCTTGGAGGTCAAAATGTTATACTTGTTACACACTACTACAAGGGCTACGAAGGACGAACGGGTGCCGCTATAAGAAACTTTGCCCCTAAAACTGGTTTAATTATGTCTCTCCACTGATCAATCAGAGGATCACTGGATCACCAGAAAACTGCATGCTGTCACTGACACAGCAATGAAAAAGGGCGGCAAAATCAAGGACAGCAAAACACCGATGATTCATACTCAAAAAAGAAAAAAATGATAAGTATGGGCATTATAAGCCGCCACACAATAAAAAAAGTTTTTGTGCTCCGTAATCTCTAAATATGATGTACAGAACAGTTTTTTGAAATATTTTTAACCTTCCTGCTTCGACAAGCAGCGCCATTTTTTTTTATGTGTCCTCCGGGGAACCACCTAAAGCAGTAACCCAGTGCAGTGTGTCATCGACATGATTACTTTCTTTAAATGGTCTGTTTTGGCGGCAAAAGAGGTTTACTTCAAAGTACTTTACTTTTACCCATATGTCACGAGTATTAATTGATGTCATAAGCCAAATTGTACTTATGCAATCATAATCATTGTCTAAAGAAGAGCTAGCGACTTCTACCCGACTTTGAAATTTAAATGTCAATTCCATGCAGGCGCAGCGCAATAATGTTAGGCACAGATGTTTGCAGCAGCCTCAACAACCGGCTGGCAGAATCACCCACACATGCTCAAACAGATGTTACAGGGCTCTTTTTAAATCCCAGTAAAGATCTCTTTCATATGTCACGGTGCCTGCAAAATGAAGCGCTCGACATACCGATTCGGTGTCGTCGGCAATGGTGGCGTTGTCGGTGTCAGAAACTTCATCGTCATCCCTGTCCATCGGCTCGAACCCTTCGCCTCCTTCCTCTTCGTCCTCATTCTCGGAGTCAGATTCAGAGCCCTCCTTTCCGCTCTCGTCATCCAGGATCCAGCAGGCCTGGTATTCAGATGTGCCCTTGGGAACCTTCTTGACCACCTTCTTTCTTGACTCTGTCCCTGACTGTGCGGCTGGAAGACAAGAAATTCAGGTTACACGAAGAAATAAGGCCTTACATAGCAATCAACAGTACTTTTGATTGGCTTGCTTCATGAGCGTAAATGTTTGGCTTCCTCCATTTTGTCACTTAGCAGTGTACGTATAGGTTCATCAGTGAATCTACACAAGATTTGGCTGCTCTATTTTCCTTTTTGTCTTTTTGCTCTATTGGGCCTTGTGAACTTCTCAAGCTACCCTTGTGGCTCTTCACTTTAGGCCCATTTCCTGTATTTCACTGGATAAAAATTAATTTATACATTGTTAGATTTGTTGGGTAGCGGCAGAGCAAATAAGAGGGAAAAAGAAATAGAGTATAGACACGATAAGCGCCAGTTAAGAACTAGACTTAATTGCCGTCACCTGTACATATATTTGTGTCATCATCATGCAGTCGGGGAAAAAAAGAAAGAAAAGTGATGACAATAGCGCAAGCCTCGTGGACACCCCCAATATACGCTGTAATGGTCAAACCAACTAACCCACAAGTACATTTTAGGCATCTACTGCCTTTATTTATACCCATGTCTTTACGCTACCACTTCCTAATAAGTTACCTAGTGATCAGGCTCGAAACTACACTACTGTGTCTATAACCGTGTAATTTTCACTCTTACAGTATGTTTGAAAATGAGGAGTGACTGTGCAGAACATTATCAAATGTATGTGCTATTTCAAAAGGTTCCATTCCCAGTCAGTTTCCTTATTAAAAAATGTTTGAAATTACGACTTGACATTGCGAGCTGCTGTCCAGAGTGCATTTTGCAGCAAATACAGTAGAACCCGGCTGTTGTGTTCCTGTGTGGTGCGTTTTCCTGGCTGTTAGGTCGTTTTCGGCCAGTCCCGGCACAGCTCACATAAGATCCAATGCATTGGGAACCCCGCTGCTGCGTCACAACTGTGGGACCGTTCCCGCATCATACGTTGCGAAGTGCCACGACGTGCCGGCTTGAGTGGCCATGTTGTCTTTCATGTAGCTTGGCTTGGTGGCTTGATGATGGGATTGGCCGCCCAAAGTGCCGAGGGCAACACCTATGACGTATTTTCGGTTCATGCCAGCAAAAGCATGACCTTCGAGATCCGTATTTGCACTCTAAGAAAGATTGTGTCTATGACGCGTTGGGGCCCTAAAATTGGTTTTGGCATCTGTAAAAGTAAGGTCTCCGAGACCTGTTTTTGTTTTCTTGGGATGTCACGCTGGCTTAAACTTATCGCCACCGGGTCGCGCAGGCGGCCCGATTCAAAGCCCGATCGCCATCACCATCGGCCATGTGTGCCCGTGATACCCCTGCTTGCTGCGGTCTTCTCGCATTGCCTTTGTTTCGTGTCGGTCGTTGCGCAGGTTATACGAGCGTGCAGCATATACGAGCGTGCAGGTTATACGAGCGTGCAGAACTGAACACTGCCATGGAGACTGTTGGTGGCAGTGGAATCGCGTTCAGTGACTACGCTTCTGTTGACGACGCCGTTGTCACCTCCGCGATGTTATCCGTCGACGATATCGTGGCTGAGTGCGCTGATCCGTGCGCCAATGACGAGGAAGTTGAGGAGGAGGTGGAGCTGATACCGGAGCCAACGTCCTCATCGGCCGTAGCGACACTGGATTTATTGCGAAGATATGCGCGCACCAGTGACAATGGCGAGAGCCACATGGTACTACAGGTGCTTGAAAAACGCCTTGTGCTTGTCGGGCGTGAGGAGATGCGCCAAGCAACGCTGCATGATTTTTTCAAGCGAAAGAATTAAAATAAAACTATGTACAGTTCACCACTACTCTTATTTCTCAATTTTTCGCGTTTCTCGGCTCTTGCGTTTCCCGGCTCCTACGTTTTTTTATGGTCCAGTGAAAAACGTATCAGCGGAGTTCTACTGTACTTTCAGGAAGACAGTAACGACTTTACAGTATTGCAGCAGTACTTTCACTTTGCAACTACGAGAAATATATACGCAATACAAAACAGAGAGACACCAAAATCACTCAAAAAATAACTCAAGAAAATGTGAATTGCATTTTTTTGCGTCTCGTATGGTTATGCAACCTGGCCACAAATACAATGTGAAGCACAAATCAGACTACTACCCCATTCTTTTTGCAGAACCTGCTAGGGATATTGTTACTAACTGGCCGACACAAAACATAAGCCATCACCAGACTAGATGAATTTGGCAGAACTGCCGTAAAAGTGTTACATGAAGAGTTTTCGAAGCAATTATGTGCAGCGCAGCAAACGACCAGTGATGTTTATTCATATGTGAATAGCAGGTGATGACTGCTGATTATTATTACAAAAGAGATCACTGTAAACTTTAAATGCCAGTTCCATTTATTGCCTTTCATTGAGGCCCATAGAAGACCATTGGAGAGCCAGATTAATGTGTATCAACATCAGTAGCACTTTATAATAGAGAAAAGCAGTTTATCAACACTGCCACGGCTGAAACTAGCAATAAGAGATGACAGCACAGACATCATGAAAGGATGTATTATTGAGCTGTATGCATCTTTTACATGAGCGCCATAAAGCTACATTTATGGCTTGTGCAGATGTTCTCACAGAGGCTATTCATATCTTTAACGATCAATAACTAGGTCCAACAGAGCCCTGTGCTTCGAACAGAAAGCACCAACGTGTCTGATGCACAAGATGAAAACAAGCACTGATGAACTACTTGAAGATAATAAATACTACTATTATTTGGTTACAGTTTCGCAGCATAAGCTCAAACTAAGCTGTAGCATAGACATGTCCTTTTTGCTGCAACAGCCCTAGCACACCACTACACACATACTCAAATGAAAGCAGCTCAGAAGACTTCATTTTTCAAATGTACATTGATTAACACAACAGTGAGCCCAATCAAATTCTGAAGTACCATATAGGCAATAAAGAATGTCATAGTGTGACACCCTGGATTAATAGCAACCACCCCTGTCCACTTGTATACAGGTACTAAGCACACAAGCGCTCCAGCATTTAGTAACCATTAGAATGAAAATGCTGTGACTGGAGATCAAATCCATGACCCAGGCCACACTGCTGCAGAATGCGACATCCAGCAAGCAACCACAAAGAGTAATAGCAGAGCACTTGAACACAGCACAACAATTACAAGAGACTGAACTGTCGGAGCTACTGCAGGCTGAGAATGCCAAGCTAATCCTGCCTAAAGTAAATACCTAAACCGATCAACGAACGAAATGCAGCTTATAAATGCACTGCCAGCACTCACATTCAGCTTCTGCCAGCTCCTCGGGTGTTGGCCATGTCTGCTCTGCATCCATCTCATCCGGCACGTTTTCGGACTGCAGCGACTCTTGCTTGAGAGGGTCAGCCTTCTCGAGAATCTTGGTGGTCAGGTCCGCCATTTCCACAGACTTCTGCAAGGATTAGCGCAAGCCTTAATTTTGAAAATTCACGGATGATTGTCGGTACTGTGAGACCATAGACACCACCACCGCCCACGTTCAATAAACTCTCTTACTTTCTCTTCCCTTTCTATTATTCCCCCTTTCCCCCCAAGTGTAGTGTAGCAAACCGAGCTGAGCTTGGTTGACCTCGCTGCCTTTTCTCTCCATTTCTGTCTCTGTTTATACCAGTTGACATAAGTGTCATTCTTAACTATGTGTCAAGTAGAAATTATGGAATATCTGGTCTCGAATGTAAAAATTGGATGTGTAGACAACATGGCAGAGGGGGGTGGGTGGGTGTTACTGTGCTGCACAAGAGCATTAACTATTAAACACTTGACTGGAACCTTCGCATTGCAGCAGAAGCCCATGTGTATAACAATGAGGTAAGTATACACTCACGGGGTCGAAGCAGGTTATAAAATGTTTTGAAACCTTGTGCATTTCTCTTTCGTTTCATGAAGTTACAGAATAAACCTAAAAACTTTCTATGCAACAACTAAAGGACACCATTATTTATTCAAATGTTATGACTGTTACGTTAACTGTTGCACGATTGCTCCAAAGCAGAGGTCAGCAACTTTTTTGAGGTGGAGAGCCGTGTTGCATGAAGTGGACAGGGCAGGAGTCGCATGGCAAAGCGGGGAGGGGGGAAAAGAGGAAAGGCCGGTGCTTCGCAGTCAAAGAAAAAAAAATTAGGTGAACTAACAAAAATGTGAAGAAAACTGAAATATAAAAATGACTCTAGCTTCCAGCCCTTTTGTTACGAGATTGCAATTTACAAACACAAGTTACCGGCAAAAACCTTTTTTGATCTCAAAACTGCCATGTTGCTCTTCAGAGAGGTAGCGACTCAAGGAAGGGTTCTGTCGTCACGCCGGGGGCCTCATAGTACTGCCCCGTGGGCCGCATATTGCCGACGCCTGCTCTAAAGGAAAGGTCAAGGTCAGGGGCATCACTTACAGATGTGTCACGAGACTTCAGAATGAGGCCATGAGGGTCATCAGGGGCATCAATCTGTGTCATCTGGAAGTCCCCGTGGCCCGAGATGTGCACAAGGGAGTTCACGCTGAGTGGCTTTCCCCTGATGTACCCGGAAACCTTGAGGGTTCCCACAAGGTTCTGCAAAGCAGGACACACACTAGTGAATCTCGGAATCTCTCGTAATGCTTCAGTTAATGATGGGGCCAGTTATCACAAACAAGCAAGAGATAACCAATGATCAGACAGAAGAACAGAAGAAGTTAAAGGAGTACCGACACAAAATTCTGAAGCCAACATAAGTAAGATTTCTGCAGGCACTAATACATCATTTCAAAGTATCAATAGCAAATATGGCCTGCAACATATTGAAAAAGAACCACAGTGTGTGTCACAAAACTAAATGTCCTATGCCTTTCTCACAACATCAACACCAACTTGGTTTTAATCTAAACAACCAGCAGCCACCTGCATCACAATTTTATGTTGGCTGTCATGATCCTTGCGAGCATTCTCTCTTAGCAGAATTTTTTTGACAAAAACGAAAGGTGCCTCCTTTAAAAACTTGCAAGAGAGTACATAGGTTGATGAAGCGTTTTTGCTTTGGACACACCAACAAGCTTGCCTCCCCAGAGCATTTTTGCGGGGTCAGACATAGTATTTACAACATCCCAAAAGGATTATAGCAGCACTGAGGGAGCCTTTGTTGAAAAGAGTACTAGTCAACACAGCGCTCATGTCAATGCACTTCTGCGTGTTCATATATCAAGTTATGCTTGCATGTAAACTGTTCAGGTCCCAGCCTAGCTCGATGCTCAGAGAAACGGATATCGCAATTGGACCCTATAAGACCGTATTCAAATAAGTAACTATTGCATGCTCAAGAAAATGAGGTTTCCAGTCATTATAAGTGGGTCATTAGCTAGTTACAAAAAAAAGCAACAACAAAAAACACTTGTGTCAGTACTTCTTTAAAGGGACGCTCAAGAGAAACAATGACTTGGTCTATATTGACAAATAACACTATGAGAACTCTAATGCCACATGTTTCACTATCATAAGTTCTTTATTAGTAGAGAAAATCATATTAGTCGAAGTTTCATCTTCGAATTTTGCACCGAAATCTCTGCATGTGACGTCAAAAATTTGTAAATGTATTTTTCATATTTTCACGACAGTGGCTTTGTCAGACTTTCTGCAACTTTGTATGCTAGGTCTATGGTACCCAGAGATTATGATGTACTTTCCTTTTTCTATTTAGGACCCAGTAGACTCTTTCAAAATCTATGACATTAAAGTGTTTAGTGGTGGTGTCTCCACCCACCCATATTTTCTTTTCGTGTGTTTTTCGCTTACAGGCGTCATGTCGCGGTAAGAGTGGTGCTCACGGAACTGTCAAATTGTACTTCACTAACACGCATAAATCGATTTGCTCTTTAGTGTCCCTTTAAACGACCTTTGTTAGTAACACCTTTGCTTACTTGGCCTTCTTGAGGGCAGAATTCTACGCTTTCTGCAAGCATGTGCGGACGCGAGTCTCTGTAGCTTATCAGCCGTCGCTTCTGATCGGCAATTTGTCGCAGCAGCAGCAACCCGTCTTCCTTCTTGTCCACTGCACGAAGCTTCTCCCCGGGGAACCTGCGGCAGACAAGGAGCCCCAGCATGTACATCATTCCTGCATGCTAATGCCACAAGCGGCTACACTCTAAGCAAAAATTGAGTATTAAGTACCGTAGCACCACAAGGGGCTATACTCTAAGCAAAAATTGAGTATTAAGTTGTGGGGTTGTACACGCAGCCCACGGTCTTCACTGCAAAGGCGTCTCGGCTTCACGCTACGTTTGCACAAGCCGCGGCAAGGGGGTGTTGCGGGGGAGGTGACAATGTGCCGCTCCTGCAGACCTTTGCGCTCTGCTCCTTGGCTGAACACACATCACTTTTTGGGGGTTCGGGGTCTTTTGACTTGAGAAGCCGTGGCTGACACAGCTCGATTAAGTCATTAGCCAATTAGCCGCCATCACTCACTGCACACCGCCAGGTTCTCTGCGGGTGACCCACTGCCCCAAGGCCGGAGTTCAAAGCCACGAGAGGGGAGTCCGAGCATTATCGTTCTCTCTCTTGTGTGCTTCTCTTTCGGTGCCTTTGCACATTGACATGCGAAACTAATCCACCACTTTATCTGTACTGTATTTTTGTTGTGTGTTGGTGGCTGCTTGATGCTATAATAAACAGTATTAGGCAAAGAATTTCAAGGGGGCACCTCGTTTTTCACTCTGTATGCCATGGTGAAAAAACTTTCGAATGGGGGGATGGTTGAGCTCGTTGTGCCACCTCTTGGCTACGCCGCTGGACGAGGGTATCATGCTATAACTTATGTGCGCGTGATTTGAAAGCAGAACAATCGCAATGCCGCAATTAACGAATACGATGCTCGTTGAGCCCTTATCGCTATAGCATCCTTAGAAGCATTTCAAAACTACGAATGTGGGAACAGAAATCAAATCTAGAATCTCGAAGGCCATGAAGGCAGCATTTGGTACGAAACATGCGGATCATACTGTGTTAGGTCTAGCGCACTTCGCATCACACACGACAGAGGAGCGCGTGATTTGTGCTGACAAATCAAGAGGCCATCACGACCTACTAATAACTCTCCCCCATACCGGGCATGAGATGCGATTAACTTGGTGTAATATGCCTCGCTAAGTGGCTCTCTGCTGAAAGGAGGCGTCATTGCACCCAGAACTCAGCTAAAGGAAGTACAAAGACACTTCAAATAAACGAATCTGTGAATAGAGCTGCATAGACCAAACAAAACTGAGGCAACAGCTAATCCCCCATAAAAATGCTGCTGTGGCGGAGGAACGGCTATGACGTCACATGAAAGCCATGTACTATATGCACGTACAGAAAGCCAGCGAGACTACGATACACTGTCCTTAAACTGCTTTAATGGCCCCTGTAGTTTGTTAGCGGGTTGTCTGCCGTGTCTTGAGGACAGTACACACAACACATCTAATCCAGCTTTGACAGAGTGGCATGACATCGTCGACCTTGGTTCAGGCAGTTGTGATGCTGGCAAAATAATGAAAACAGTGGTCTCGGTTACTGACCACCGCGCAACACTGGCGAACCAGGGGCCCTGGCAAAATAGTGAATACAATTATGCAACGCTAAGTAGAGCATTTGGGTTTTATTCAAATTTTGGTGGTGGTATGATGTTACGCAAGACATTTCTGCTCAGGGAACGTGGCTTCCGCTTTTGACCACGTGACAGCGACCAGAAGTTCAGCGAATAAAATCAGTCTATGTACGAGCATTTCTACATGAACAGGAGAGTTGGGAGCGCGGGAGGAGCGGACTAGATGGTACTATTGAAGTTGGCGAACCCTTCAAACGTTCCCGCCCCCACATCGACCTAACTAGTGCGAAGGTCATTAAAAATGCAAATTTCTTCGGTAGGTGGACTCTCAACCACGGAGCCCTGATCTGTGAAACTGTCCTCCTCAATCTCAGTGTTGAAAACGAAGTGGCGAAAGCAGTTAAGAATAATTTCCTCAGTAACTGCCTTCCAGGCATCAGCCAAGATGCTGATGGCTGACAGCACATCGATCACGTCATTCTTGTCACTGTTGACGCATAAAAGCAACATGATTCAAGAGGCGCAATCGATAATGCACTTTCAAGTTCTTGATCACACCCTGGTCTATGGGTTGCAACATGCTTGCCAAGTTTGGGGGCAATAATTCCATTGTAATTGCTTTGAGATTGTGTATATGTCCATGGGCACCGCAGTTGTCGACGAAAAACAGCACTTTGCGATTTCGCTGCTCGTATCGCCGGTCAAGCTAGCGCACATACTGTTAGAAAATATCTTGGGTAATCCACACTTGGAGTTCGATTCATACCACACAGGGAGTGATCTGATGCCCTTAAAACACTTTGGGTGCTTTAATTTTACTATGATGAGAAGCAGAAGTTTTTCCATACCCGTAATGTTGCCTCCCACAACTACAGTCAGCCTTTTCTTGCTGTGCTTGCCCCCATAACAAGGTTTGCCAAACAAGTAGCATCTTGTCAGGTAGAACCTTGTAGAAAGGCCAGTGTCATCACAATTGAAGATATTTTGACGAGCACTGGCTCAGCAGAATGTGCAAAGCTTGCCAACACAGTAGTTGGTCAAGCGTTTGGTCGACCGAACCACTCTTGCTGCACATTTGCTTGAAGGCGAAGTTGTGCAACCAGGCATCACTGAACTTGAAGCCGGTTATACCTATGCGCAGGGCGAGCATCTCTGCCTTCTGTCGCAGCAGGTCGCCAGGCATGGGTATTTTTCTAGCCACCGTGACACTTAACCACATGTTCAGCAATTCCTCAATGCTCGGGTGGCAGCAGTCTTTCAGTTTTTCTGCGTTTTCACGCACGCTTTTTCAACTGCCTCCAGAATCTTATTTTTCTGCTTGAAGCAGTCTGAGACGGTTTGCTTGGAAACGGAAAATTCCTGAGCAACTTCAGACTGAGGTCGGCTGCCTTCGACCTGGTGAATGATCTTCGCTTTCTTCGCCACCCTGAGCATCCTGTATCTACTGCTTTGGCCACGTTTTTTCTGTATGCCCACGACGCAGAAACAGGCGGTATTGAAGCCATTTCAGCAGCTCGCACACTGAAGAAACACACATGAGTATAAGACACTGAGCGCGAGAGGCTCATCATGCCTAGCCGCAAAAGCAACTGACAATGCCTGTGCGAACATGCTAGCATAAAGGCCACACCAAGTCACGAGTCCACTCCCTACTTGGCTTGGCTGCAGTAGGCATTTAATGGCCACGTAACCGGCTAAAGCCAAAAGAACATGTCGCCAAACATAGCCTTAAAGATCAGCAATTCTGCATGTATTTTACCACTGGCTTGACGTCCATCCATGTCTGGTTCAAGATTTGAGTGCTGGCAACCTAGCAAATGTATTGCAACCATCACTGATAGCATGTTATAGCGTATGTGCTACAACCGAACAGCCAGTCGGAGTTCGAAAAATCGAACGGCGCACTGTGGGTCGTCTGAACTTTCGGCCGTGAGTGTACATTAGGTTCAATGGGGTGAGCGGCGGGGGCCGCGATGGTGTTCGAATGAACCAGCATGTCCGAGTTGTCTGCATCTAAATAAACGGTCAGCGACTGTACTACCCATCATTATCATTGTGGATGAATGATTTTAGTGCTTCAGGTCCTTCTGTAAATATTATAGAAAACTCTATATCTGGAATGATGAGGAAGAGGTCACTTTAGTGAAACTTGTCCTGAACTCTCATAATGAGTTTTCAGCAATGATCTGCAGCAGCTCATTCACTGGAGGCATGATGAACTCTGCATGAGGACATGCATAGAACAAACAAGCTTTCAACAAAAGCGCATCACTTCCCACCAATAAAACTAACATTACAAACATCCCTAGTAGTGTCTATGATGAAGTACGGGTACACCAGCTATTTACAAAAGTGTGCTTACCTTGACTCTAGCGCTTTGGTGACTTGCTTTCTCGCTTCTGCTCTCTGCTTTTGTGGGAGTGCCTCAAGCCCCTGTGAAAAACATAATAATGAGAAATTAATAAGGTCTTTGTCAGACACAATATTAGGGAGAACCAACAGACAATTTACCCAAAGACGGGTGGTATAGGTGATGTTAATAGTAGTAGTTATGTCATAGACAAGAAGAAAGTAAAGTGAACGAAAAGACAACCTGTCACCTGCAGAGACCCAACCTGCTATCTTTGAATAATGCATCCTCCAGTCCACTTCGTTGTATATAACCATGACATGACAGTTGCACAATTCAAGTGCAAAATTTGCGAGCAGCATAGCTGGCAGCAGAACTTTTTCAATCCCAGAATTCAAGACAAATACTGAAGGTTGGAGCTGTAGCAGCTTTGGAAATGGTGCATCAGAATTACCACAAACTGCACCGAAGCTGATGAGGTCTGGAACTGTTTTCTGTTACGAATGCCTCAAATGGCAATAATGAGTAACGTTCGTTCCACTAAGGAAATGAGTTTATAGTTACCACTACTCTCTCTCTAAGCACAAATAAATTCTGGGTAAACAACAAAGGGCATTGCATTTCTCTGCATCTGGCCAGGAAACTAAAACTGCCTGGCTGGATGCACAGAAATACAATGCATCCCACAATCGGATGTATGTCAAAAGTGTATAAATAAAATACTTCAGGTGACTTTTTCTCAGGATGAGTGGATGGATGAACACAATGAAAAGACACATACAGTAGAGCTACAGTAGTTGAAAGCCTCCATTTTCGAATTTGATATTAGTAGTATATTTCCAAAAGAAACTAAGAGTCACCTACCTGGGCTTGGCCACACCTATCCAATAGCAATAAAACTGAATGCCCGAGTTGTAAAACTACCACTGCCCTGCTCCACCTGAAGGTAAGAATTGATATCTATGCTCGCACAAGGTCTTCTAACGAGGAGTTATTTGACTTTTATTACTTTACTAGTTATAAAATGTTTTGTTTTGTTCAGGACTTCCTCAAGCACCCACACTAAGGGCCCAAAATAAACACCTCAAACACTGACCTGTACAACATGGATTGCTGATGGCAGTCCCTGGGCGAATAAGATTGACAGCATCATGTCGCCTATGTCATCATAACCACCGTCAAGGGAGTACAGGAGCACCGTTGAGTCGGCAACCTGAAAAATGGATATAACTTTGAGGCGTGCAGACTGTGAATGAACAAAAGGTATAAAGTAATCTATAGAAAATGATTACCCATGTCCCCTCGTTCTCCATTTTCTAATGAAACAACACAATATGACGGGCTCACTTATGGAAGGGCGATATCCTGCCCCAAACATCAGCTGCAGATCATATGCCACTCTGATTCAGAAAGCGTACACAATGAGTAGCAGTGTTCGAAGGAGAAAAAAAGTGCAAAAGCTATCCACAGCACTTTGCTTCACAATGCAAATGCAACCAAACACGAATGAGATGACGTTTACACCAAGGTGAAAACTGTCTAAATATTCACAATAACAACAGTAGTCTGTGATGAAAACAATGAGTACTAAAGTTTAATATAACAGCTTGAAGCTAAGAAGTGTAAATTTAAGGGCTAATTTTCTTCGTCAAACACAACATTAATGGTAACTAACAGACAGTGATGCATCATTGTCTGTTCTTATTAAAGCTGAATGTAACAGCTTGTCACCTACAACGAAGTATGTGCATAATTTTTTTCACCTCCAGTATTAGAATGCCACAATAGAATGCTTGTTGCAAATAGTGAACATTATGAAGGTGCTTTGGTGTTGGACTTGATTTAGCTATAGTAAGTTATGATGATCACACTATATTAACGCAGACTGGTGGCTCACCTTAGCAGCGTCGAGGGTTGCATACACGTCGCCCGGCCTTGGAATCACGAAGGAGTATCTTTTTTTGAATCGTGGAAGACTGAAATAGAAACAAGGGATTCTCGAAACATGGCCAGAAAAATCGGTTCTCGTCGAGTGATCGCTCCGACGGGAGAACTAAATGGTAATTACGTCATATAATTAGTACTAATTCTAACGAACTCCAGCACGTTGCCACAGAGGGACACGATCCGCACCTGATGTGGCAGTACCCTTGGCCGCTTTCTGTGATGACAGCGTCCTCGTCGCACCCTTTCACGAGTTCGAGGAACTTGGCTGGGTCTTCGTTTGCGTGCAGCGGGATGATCGCCTTTGGAGTAAAGCGAGTCGAGTGGTGAGTTTGATGGCGCAATTAATAATCGTGACAATAAGGCGGTACCACTTTGTGAAGGTTTAGCTCTCGGAACAGCTGATTGACGACCCTTACCGTCAGAAAAGGCGGCACTCCGCTTCCTCCAAGTGACCTTTTTCTCTCGGTGGCTTCCTCGCGTTTCAGCTTTCTGAGCTGCTGAATCTGCGATTGCAATCGAAGTCAGCGATAGGTCAAAACATAAGTATCGGTGGCTGCTTTACAGACATTAAATGAGACACCGCTGTTAACTTGTTCAGTTCGGAAGAAAGACAGGTCTAAAGTTTACAACAATTCCAAAGCTAGCGAACGAGCGCTTTCACGAGCAGATTAAAAAAAAAAAAACTTTTTTTTTTGCGTGTGGCGAATGTGGTTATGAGATGAGGTATCGCCGCTGAAAGCTGAATTCCTATCGACGTCAAGTTTGTCACAACACAGTCTAGACGTGTGCATTTATTACAGTCGTGCGCGATTATTGCTACAACAACGCGCGATCCTCAGCAGCAAAGTTTTCGAAGGTCTGACAAAAGTCAAACCAAGTATTTGCAAGAAAACGGAGCGAAACGTGACGCATTCCGGTGGCTGTCACTCACCTGATTCTTTCTTTCTAGCCTCTTCAATTCGTGCTTGTTCTTGCGCGTGATGAATTTAAGGCTGACCTTTCCTGGAAATGAAAACAGTCAAACCTTAGTGATCGCAAGCGTTTTTTTAAGGACACAAGCACTCTACAATGTGAGCCGCATAGCTACGCTTCGGGAGAAGCACATGGCCGTAAGCGCAACCCGAGCGCAGCGAACACAACGGCGCGCCCTTCGTAATACTGGAGCAAGATCACGACAGCTTACCCCTGCTGAGAGATTCCAACGATCTGTTGCTTCTGTGACGACCATGCTTATGTGCCTTATTTTGCTGTTTGAAGGCGCCTGGCCTGTGCGTAGCATTTTCGCTGGACAGCGCCATGTTTCCTGCGAAACTACCTGACTCAAACTGATTCAGCACATTGTCTTTATTCCGCTGTTTCGTACGCAGTTTTCAAACAAAACAAAAAAAGTTATAAAATGAAAATAAAATATGAAGCAACTAAACCAAAGTGGAAGCTTGGTCAATTTCTTACTATATATTGCATGTTGAAATAAAATTTGTTGAGGTATCTACTGAGCTTATATTTTTTCCTCAGTAGGCAAATATCAAGACGGGGAGCTTTTAAAAATGGCGGCCGCTCCGCTACCGCAGGTGCCCGAGAAATTAAAGGCAGTTGTTCCTTACGTAAAAATAGCTGCCGAGCATGACTCCAGAGATCCGATCATCGCTTATTGGTGTAAGTGGAACGTTCTTAAGTAATTGTCATTCCGAGTACATCACCGTGGGTGGAGAAGACGGCAGGGGCGGGCCCTCAGAAGCGTAGTCTAGCTGTGTTGTTTAGTTGCCCCTTTAAATGTCACAAGATCACTGACTTGGCAACTGGTACTGTTATGCCCGATTTGTGCGCTAAATGGTGTTCATGTTCTGGACGTAGATGTTCTGACAGGGTAACGGTGTGCGGAGCGCCAAAAACGCTTCGACCATGCTACAACAGCGTCGGATGCTCGTAGTTTCTTGTTGACAGCGGCGCGCGACAGGTATCACTCTATTATGCCTTGTTTCCTCTCCTCTCCAGGCCGACTTTATGCGCTCCAGACTGGCATGAAGGTTGACAGGTCTTCCTCGGAAAGCAGGGGATTCCTCATGGCCTACATGGATTGGCTAGAGAAGGTATGGGTGTAGTTGCCTTTAGATTTTTTAGCACTCCGCTCTGAACGATCTTACGAGCGATCGGTTTGGCAGTTTCCGGCATTTAATTGCTAGCCTATACTGAGTTCGTAACAATGTCCGAAAGGTCGTGTTCTAATAAGAACCTCAGGTGGTCAAAATTTCCGGATCCCTCCACTACGGCGTCTCTCATAATCATGTGGTGATTTTGGGACGTTAAACCCCACATATCAATCAGTCAACCGTGTTATAATCCGTCAGTACGGATTCAGTAGTGAAATTCACTTACACTGCTGAAAATTTCCTTCGGACTGTCAACCAGTCGAACAGAAAAAGTGCTCCTTAAGTCGTGTCCCGATTGGAAGCATCAAAATTGGTAGACCAAATGAGATTCAGGGGGATCACTTGGTTAGCTAGTTGTATTGCATCTTAAGGAGGTTACAGCCTGCACAGACGAGAACAAAGTACAGAAGAGACGGCGTTTTGTCGTCTTTATTCTTCACTTTTGTGTCGTCTTTGTGCATTGTAGCCTCTCTAATACCAAGTGAGGACTGTGCATCAACTGGCGCTGCCGTTCGGAAGTGTCAAGTCTGACTAGACTACTCTATTCAATGCACGTTTAAATGTAACATATTCGGTGCTATTTGCCCACAGATGCTATTACCAGTTGCACCAGTTGACTATTTCCTTAAAGTGACTCACTACTGCCAGCAAAACACAAAATGCAATGGCGTATTGAGCAATCTAATATATAAAGTAGACACGAAAACTAGTTTGGGCAAAACTGAATGGAATTTTGTGCGCGTAATCATTTGTTGCGATTTTAGTTTTCTGTGTAACATCCTAAAGGTGTTTTCAGGTCTTTCACACTGGATATTAAAGTCTTTTGTATCGTCGCTAATCTTTTATGTCTGTCACTGAACTTTTGTTTTATTTGAATTTATAGCAGAACTTGACCAATTGCATTTATCTTGTTATGACTTTTTTTCTGTCCTAGCTGACTAAAAGAATCTGTGAAGCTTTATGTAAAATTAACGAAAATGAGCCCTGTTTGGTTTTTGCTTTGATTTGTATGAATAGGAAAGAATATTTTTCTTGTTGAAGAGTAGGAAATATAGTAGGTTACAAATCAATTTGGCATGCAAGGAAGGGCACACCTTAATTTTAAGATGCCCTGTGCAGCTCGCTTGAGTGATTGACAACAAAAAGTTGGCACAACTTTGCAGGAAAAAGCCAAGAGGAAAGACGAAGAAGCAATCACAAGTGACGTCGTAGCCCAGGCACACATTGAGACCAGAGCGTTGAAACTGTTCCTTTGGGCTGATGGCGAGGACAGAGCGGCACGCTTTAACAAGTATTTCCTTTCAAATTTTTGTAATGGCCATATTCGTTGTTTCATAAATGAGGTGTAATGCTGTAGAAGCTATGCACAAAGCTCAATTGGCAAAACCTGCGTGTGTGGTCGTCTCCTGTTTGAATTTCGTTGTAAACGTGGACTCCACGATTGGCTGCGTGCTACAGGAACTAATCACAGAAGCCACAAGGCGAAAACGGAGGTGGTCAGTGATCCAGAACAGCCGTTAGTGAAATCACTGAATTATTTCCTTCTGGAAATGTATCTACTGCATTAAGTCTTGCTAGCTTCAGTAGCTTTGCACCTGGTGTATGAAACAGAATATATTGTTACTATTGTGGCAGCTTATTTTGCAAAGGTGCTGGTATCTAACTGTGGCAGTTCATTTCGCTTTGCAGGAATGTAATCAAGGCATTTTACACAGCTGCATATCTCTTCGATGTCCTCACAACGTTCGGAGAACTGACAGACGAGGTATGGCAATGCTGGTCTCTTTTTTTGACATGTTTCGTTGTTCCCAGTTGATTATTTCTTAGTATAACCGTGGAGTGGATATCGTTTATCGAAAAACACAAACACGATAAATGCGATCAGAGCAATAATGACTTATGTGCGAAAGGCTGGTGTGTTTACCTCATCTACCATCTCAATTTTTGCTTTTAAATACCTTGTAAATATATATCTTGTGTACCACTCGTGTATGTCGCAATATATTTTTAATGTTGTAGCATTACATGCGACTATGCAGAAAAAGTTCGTGATTAGGTGTGAAGCTTACCATAGTTAGTTAGCAGGGACTATCCAGGTAATTGCATATAGTCAAACATAATATATTCTTCTTGCATTACCTACTTAATTGCCATTTTCTGTAATCTAATAAAGCATTACAAATGCCGGGTATTTTCCAACTCTTTTGCTCCTGTGTAGCCTCAAATTGAAGTCTTTGTTAAGAACTGGGGATGGAAGGGCTTGGTACGTATTTATAACAACTTGCTATCTTGGGTATTTTTACCACTTTACTGAATCATTATTGTAAACTATCTACTTTCTCAGCTTAGCGTCCGGTAATTCCCGTAACCAAGCGTCAACATTTTGTTCACAGGTTTCCAACCACCGGAAGTATGCCAGATGGAAAGCAGCATACATTCACCGATGCCTCAAGAACGGTGAAGTACCAGTTCCTGGACCTCTCAAGGGAGAAGATGAAGGATTCGAGGAAGACGCTGGTGGTATGGTCATTCTACTGAGAGTATTAATGATGGAAAGTCTACACGAAGAAGCGCGTGTTTTAAAAACGCCTAATGTATTAGTTTCTTGCTGCTTTACCATGACTTCTGTCAAAACAATTTCTTCAGAAAAGATATACTCTAACAAACAATTGTCATTTACGTCGGTTTAATGTTCTTGATTGAATAGTTACTGGGCTAAATACCACAAGTACTATATTAAATTTTACTGTAGTTTTTCTAAATATGGTTGTCTTGTAGTAAGCGTGTTTGTTGTTACACAACAAACTGGCATGTTTTCAGGAGCCAATGCACGAGCTGCCTTTCTTTTTTGCTTGCGCATAGTGCTGACTTTTTTCCAACAGTGGATAAATAGCTTTATGACAGTAGCAATCGCCATGCATTTTCCATCTTGCTTAACTCGACAATGTCTCATGAAATGCTAATTGCAACAAAAGAATCGACAAAATTAAGTAGGGCCGTCAGTGGCACCATATGAACCTCTATCCGAGATCTATTGCACACACTTCCGAGTTGAGTTCATCTTTTACTAGACCTGTAGAAGACCCATTATGTAGAAGCAGCAATTTCGAAAGCTCACGTAATCTAGGAACATCGTAGGCTGGGGTCTGTGGTGTGACATAGCATGCCTCAATGAGTCATTAGCAGTGCTGGTTAGACCATGAAGGGGAGAACCGGCAACACCAGATTACACTCTTGTGAAACATCATGTACTGGTTAAGACAGTTGCCTTTCAGTTATCTCTACACAGGTTGGTAATGGTTACAGGTGTAATGAATAGTGGTATCAGTACAAATGCTTATTCCTTAGGGGTCCCAAACCACGCAGAGTTTGAAAACGAGATAGTGGTTTCCTTCTCACCTTCACTATCCTTCCCAAAGGCACTGCCTCCTTTCTGCCATTTATTTCTTCATGAGACACATGGACAGTGTCAACGCTAAGTGTTGAGCCTGTCAGGATTTTGCACTCTTTGGTTGCACATTGTGATCTTATAGTACACAATTGAAAATGCACGAAGTGAAGAGAAATTAGTTTATGGTGCATTGCATTATAGTCGTGCGAGAAAAGACTGAACAGGCATGTGAGTTTGTGGCAGAGCAGGCTTAGGGATAATTCGCTATCAATACCCGTCATGTATGCACCATTCAAGAGCCCATTTTTTCATGACGACTTGTGAACAGACTTTAATGTTTGTGTAACCTTGCAGCATTACGAGTTTCTATCATTGAAAAGACATTTTCTTTTCTCTTCCCAGCTGTTGGCGGAAATCCGAGTCCTTCGAATGGACCGAGTGGAGCGGTGGGAGGCAGCGATGCCTTTCTGCCCCTTGGTCCTGGCTTCCCGCACGGCGGCGCAACTGCTTCCGGTATGTCGCAGCCGGGCCCCAGCAACGATCGGTCATCTTACGGGGACCACCAGCCCATGCCGTCGTCGCTTCCCGTTCCTACCCCGGGCTCTCAGGCGCCCCCTTCCACACCCAGCGGTCCCACACAGCCTCTGCCCTCGGTGGCTCCGATTGATGACATTCGAGCTGCGAGTAAGTGCTCTGCTACAAACTCTCAAAGATGAAACCTGATGAGTGACAATAGAGCCAAAAAAAGCTGTGGCATCTGAAAGAGCCGCTCTGGAACAAATGGGCTCAGTCTCTGTGCCATCATGCAAATAAACATGTACATTTATTGTAAGTTTCACACAATGACTTTGCCTGCCAAATCTCAAAAATAACTGCAGAAAAATGAAAAATAATCCAGTAGAATGCTAATATAAATCACTCAAAAAACGCACACCATACCGTGTATGTGGCATCGCTGACATTTGACTTTGTAACACGGGAATCCGTGAGAACGAGCCTCAGTATCGTCCCCGTGAATCTTTCTCAGAAGCGAACTCTGCCTCGCCGCGGTGGTCTAGTGGCTAAGGTACTTGGCTGCTGACCCGCAGGTCGCAGGATCGAATCCCGGCTGCGGCGGCTGCATTTCTGATGGAGGCAGAATAGTTGTAGGCCCGTGTGCTCAGATTTGGGTGCACGTTAAAGAACCCCAGGTGGTCAAAATTTTCGGAGCTCTCCACTACGGCGTCTTTCACAATCATATGGTGGTTTTGGGACGTTAGACCCCACATATCAGTCAATCAAGCGGACTCTCCACGAATGTGCCAAGTGTGTCATCGCTGTCTGTCTCTACTTACCTAACCTTACCGACAGGTCTGTGCCACTGCAAGACCTGGTTTGACTGTGGTTCTATCGCTCACCTATCTCTCTGATTTCTTTTGCAGATGGCGTGGCCTTAAACACCGAAGACTTCATGAAAGCCCAGAAGTACTGCAAGTTTGCCGGCAGTGCCCTGCAGTACGAAGACGTTCCAACGGCCATTGAAAACCTGCAGAAGGCACTCAGGTTGCTCACCACAGGATCGGAGTGACCCTGATTGCACTCGAGTTCTCCCTTCAAACTGAGGGGGACACACCCTCCTCACAATCCTTCCTTCCAGCCCGAAGAACTAGCCTAGGGGAGTTCCTCCACCCTCTTGTCGGAAACAACTCTTCCCTCCTTGTTCCGCTATGTCTGGTGCAAAGTCATCTTTGTGTCTGTGTATGTAGCCGCCATAGAGTTTGCTTTTACAAGAGCTTGTAACTTCCATAAAAGTGTGAACCGTTGGGCTCATTGTTTCGAAATCTCTAGGACCAAGAGTTACAGACTTGTGCCGAGGAAAGGGAACACTGGACTGGCAGGAAAGACGTTTCGGCTGCAACTTAGTTTAATAGGCATGAAGAAATGCCTTGGATGACTGCCTGTTCACAAGAGCCTCTTATGAAAATACACATTTTTCTAGGAGACGCGCTGGTTCATGCAGATGCACTTCGTGCCTATCAAGCTCGGTTGCAGATACATCTTCCCTCTCTGTTCAGAAACCAGACAGAGAGGACAGGTGTCTCTTTCGTCGGCGTAGTTTTTAATTGACCGAGTTTTTCTCGCTTGATCCTAAAAATGGCCCTCCACCTTCACTGGGTGGGTTGCTTCTCCCCCTTTTCTTTTCTCTTGAGTGAGCACACAGACGTGGTAAAGTAAGGCATTGATGTATACATCAAACGCACAGCTGGTTTTCGCGGAAATAAAGATTAGTACTGGTGTAGCTAGCAAAAGGTGCTTCACATATTACCTGTAGGCTGGTAAATTCTGGCACTCTCAGTCGCATCCGTTTGCCATTCATTGACCGCACAAGCGGCAACTTTATTTGGCAGGCCACTCTACTTTATTTGAATTGGGGTTATGCAAGTGGACTTCCTCAAAGATACTTTGACCTGTGACATTGTTCGAAAGGTATAGGTCAAAGTGTGCATTGCTCGCACTTAGGGCATGTTTGGACATCAGTGTTTAGTTGCACTTGTTGGTCTTGCCCGAGACAATGTTTTGATTTGCCACTTTTTTGTGCTTTGTTAGCCTGTAGTAAATGTGCTGAACTTGACTCGAATGAGTGGTGTACAGGCTGAAACGTATGTGATAATACTGTTGTATGCAGCGTTACTCTTAAGGAATTCACATATTTATATTCGTGTTTCAATTTCATTTGTCTCCTAATGTTCCTGTAATCTAGCCAAAGACACTAAAATGTCTGAGGAGAATATTTGCGTTCAAATTGCAAACGTTGCTGAGCAATGATCATTGCTAGTATCTAGCAGCAGCAGGAAAAATTGTGAGCTTGATCAACCACATGAATGTTAATTTTTCGCATTTATTAAGAAAAAATGCTGAATAGTTCGTTGCCTGCAGGGATGGGCTGTAGTTCATGTAACGCAGCTTTCACAGTTCACGCAGTTCAAAGTGCACAGCTGTTGAGAAAAATCTTGTCACTTCACTGCTTTTTGCTACTACTACTATTTTTAATACTGGAGACAATTTTTTCTGAAGCCAAGGAAGATTAGTTGTCATAGAAAAGCTATATGTGATGCACATCTTTGATAAAGAAGAAACTGTAGTAGCACTTAAACTGAAAAGAAAAGAATGTGTCAGATCCGGATATTTTGAGGTAACTTGTTTCTCTTTTTGTTTTTTCGTGCTAGCCTCTGCCTATGTTTTTTCTTTGCACTGAGCTTTTGAAACACAAAAACTACACGTTTTTTGTTGTCAGCCATTTAGTGCTGAATGTTTTTTGCAAGGCATGTACATTTGACTTTGAATGAACTAGCGAATTGTGCCGGGGTAAAACAGTGTCGATTTTACAAAAATATATCTTTTGGAGTTTTTCTTCGTTTCTGAATAAACTGTGGTCAGCACAGGAAATGCATGTGGTTGTGTGTTATTTTAGCGATGTGGAACTGTCCGAGTTAATGTGATTTCGGTGGAACAATAATTATCACCCTATTTGCACAAAGAAAAAAAAATTTTGGCAGATTTGCACTTGTGCCAAGCCTGAAAGAATTGAGTTGGTTGACCTTATTACCGTAGCATGACCCAACGTTTATAGAACATTGGCGCAACCTACCATGGGTGACTGGCCATGAAACGAGCAGTGTCTTAGTATATAAGGAATTTGTCTATAATCTCGGAATGTTTAGCAATATAGTTTTGAAATGAATTAGTCTCATTCACAATAAAAAAGAAAAGACTAATGTTTTTAAGGAATATGCTTGATTTCAGTGACTTTAGCTTTCAATTCATTTAGTGTTGCATAGGAAATCGCTTGCGGCATTGCAGACGCTTCTATGGCTTAGTCCCAGTACGGTAGCCCCAATTTATTTCCTAAACCTCCTTGGGTAGCCTCAAAGCAAAAGAAACAATAGAAGTGGTAAATTTAATCCCATCTTCTAGAGCAGTTCATCCAGAAGGCTTCTTATTTGATTAATGAATAATCTGAATCTTGGGAAGAAATGATCTGTGCATTTGCTATCACTGTAATGGAAGTGTGGAGTTGGGTGGCCTTGTTTCTCATTTTTTTCTGTCTTTCTTTTTTTATGGCCTTATCTCTCTGTTCTATGCCTGCTTTTACCTCTGTCTTTTCATTTTTTCCCTTGCGATATATTTCTTTCTCGCTTCATCATTCTATCTGTTTCTGTCTGTATATTTCACTCTGTCTTTAATTATCCTTTTCTGTCTTCTCTTTTTTTTTCCCTTTTCATCCTATTTCACCTTCTATGCTTCGCTTTGGTCTCCCCTTTTTGTCACCTTTACATCCCTCCTATTAACCCTCGATCACCTTTCCCACACAGCCTGGTAGTTACGACACTCGCCTTCGAGTAGTGGATGCGCGGGTTCGAATCCTGCCTCTCCAGGAAATCATTCTGCTCTCGTTCTCGCGCCCATAAAAATTATTGCATTCCACGCCGGACAAGTTCACGCACGTTTTCAGGGCGCAAAGCAGAAGAGGAGGGAAAGAGGGCGTGCCGATCGATGATGATAGTTTTTCTCTTTGCTTCGCATGGATGGACTAATTGCCGGCTTAAACATCTACGCTGTTGAAAGGACTGAGAACTGGCCGGAGCTTGTGATTAGATCCTAGTATAAATGAAAAGAGCGTAAAATATAGCGACAGACTCCATCCTTCTTTGCGCGTTGTGAGAATTTATATTTTTAAATAGTAGCGGAGTAGCCTTGAAGCTGGATTATGGAATGAGCAGTCGATCACTTAATTGCACGTAGTCACGTCATCTGATGGTGCCATGCATGCCAGTCTTCATATTTATACGAGTTGTACGTACATTCTTATCCAGCCCCGCTCAATCCCGAGCTGTTTACGACGTAAAAGGAGTTCCACGGTGAGAAGGAGCGCTGCCGTCGCAGCTGCCAGTGAAACAAGTCAAGCTACGACGCATGCGCGCGAATTGCACGCATGCGCAGTAAATCACCGCTCTAAAACGTGAACCGCTATCGCGCTCACTGTTTGCAGCATGTGATCAGTCGATATGTGGGGTTTAACGTCCCAAAACCACCATATCATTGTGAGAGACGCCGTAGTGGAGGACTCCGGAAATTCGGACCACTTGGGTTTTTTTAACGCGCACCCAAACCTGAGCACACGGGGCTACAGCATCTTCGCCTCCATCGACAGTGCAGCCGAGATTCGATCCCGTGACTTGTGGGTCAGCAGCCGAGTACCTTAGCCACTAGACCACTGCGGCGGGGCGTTGATGCAGCATGTGAGTATATGGCTTCATATTCGCTGCAGATAGAAAAATTTTGATTACAAATGTTCTGCGCGGCACTATAATAGCGTTTTCCGTTTTGATATTCTGTAATAGACTCATGGAGTGAACGACAGCCGAAACTCCGGAGGTGCACCGGTAAACAGTGAATTCTCCATAAATCTTGCCCAGTTGATCATCATCTAAAGACCGCGAGCACGTGCTGCAGCTGTTTTCCGAGCCCTTCATTCCGCCGCCTTGTCTTCGTCACTCGGACTTGAAGCACGCAGACTGCCGGCGAAAGAGGAAGCGCGCCAAGAGAACGTAGTGTCTATCATACAAGAGCACGCATTGGAGTAGAGCGATCGCCGCAGCCTGGTGAGTAATTCAAGTACTAACAGATGGATAGATGGATAGATATGGCTGTACCCTTTAGATCGGGCGGTGGCTAGCGCCACCAAGCCGTGATACTTAATGAACCAAAAACTAGATTTATTTTTTTTCTTTAAAAAGTGAGTTTGAGGATTCGTACTTTGCAGTGAAGGGTTTAATTTTCACTCGTGCCTTGACTTTAGCCACCGATCAGATAACCTCCTTCTAGTTAAGTCTACCCACTTAAAGTCTATTTTGCCGTCGCGGTCCCTAAACCCCAGTGCTTTGAAAAACTCTGCGCCATCATCCTGAACTATAGGGTGAAGCCCTTTACAGAACATTATCAAGTGTTCGGCAGTTTCTTCTTCCTCTCCACACGCACTGCATACTGTGTCTACCCCTTCGTATTTGGCCCGATATGTCTTGGTTCGCAGTACTCCCGTCCTTGCCTCAAACAGTAGAGAACTACCCCGAGTATTATCATAGATCCTTTCCTTGGCAATTTCCTGCTTAAAAGTTCGATAGATCTCTAGTGCGGACTTCTTAATCATGCCCATTTTCCACATGTCAGTCTCGGTTTCCTTCACTTTCTTCTTAACCGATAGTTCTTTTTGGTTTGGCCACCTGCTGTTTTCTAAGTATTTACCAGTCAACTTCTTGGTTCGCTTCCTCCATTTTTTATCGACATTGTTCATGTACAAGTAGCTGAAAACATTCCTAGCCCAACGCTCCTCCTCCATTTCTCTCAATCGCTTCTCAAATTTTATCTTGCTGCTAGCTTCCCTGCCCTCAAATGATGTCCATCCCATATCACCTTGTACTCCTCGATTTGGTGTATTCCCGTGAGCTCCTAAAGCAAGCCTACCTATTCCACGTTGCTTAATTTCTAATCTTGCTTGAACTTCTGATCTCATGCACAAGACCGCATTGCCGAACGTCAGCCCAGGAACCATGACCCCTTTCCATATTCCTCTCACAACATCATACCTATTGTAATTCCACAGTGCCCTATTTTTCATCACTGCTGCATTCCCGTTACCTTTAGTCGTCACGTATATTTCGTGTTCCCTCAGGTACTCGGTCCCATTGCTTATCCATACGCCCAGATATTTGTATTTATCTGTTATATCTAGCGGGACATCCTGTATCCTAAGCTCACTACCTTCGTTGTCATTGAAAATCATGACTGCTGATTTTTCCTTACTGAATCTAAAATCTAACCTATCTCCCTCATCACCGCAGATGTCCATCAATCTCTGCAAATCTTCCTTGTTGTTGCCCTTTAGCACTATATCATCTGCGTACATTAATGCTGATAGTGCCTGATCAATAAGTTTTCCTTGTTTGACTAAAGAGAGGTTGAAGCCCAGCCCACTTCCCTCTAATTTTGCCTCTAATTCTTGTAGGTACATCATGAATAATAAGGGTGACAGGGGGCACCCCTGCCTAAACCCCCGTTTTACCTCTGCAGGCTTGGATACCTGTTTTTCCCACTTTATAACTACCTTGTTACCTTTATAGATACCCTTTAAAAGATTAGTGACTACATGTTCCACGCCTAGTGTGTCCAGTATTCCCCACAATTCCTCTTGAACCACGCTATCGTACGCTCCCTTGATATCCAAGAATGCTAGCCACAGGGGCCTGTGTTCCTTTTCTGCTATTTCGATGCACTGCGTCAGTAAGAACAGATTTTCTTCCAACCTCCTGTGTTTCCGGAACCCATTCTGCAGTTCCCCCAGCACCCCCTCATCTTCTATCCATGCCTACAGTCTTTCCTTTATAATCTGCATCGCCAGCCTGTAGACCACTGATTTCACTGCTATAGGATGGTAGTTGTTTATGTCAGCTTTGTCCCCCTTTCCTTTATAGATCACGCTCATCCTGCTAATTTTCCATCCATCGGGAACTTCACCATCGATTATTATTTTGCTCACTGCCTTTCTCAAAGCCTGCTTAGACTTCGAACCTAATGTCTTTATCAGCCTAATTGGAATGCCATCTGGGCCTGTTGATGTACTACTAGGAACCCTTTTCTCAGCTCTTTCCCACTCTCGTTGTGAAAATGGAGCCATTGCACCACTTGATTCGTCCTTGTCTATTGTGGTGCATAAAGTACTTCTTTGTTGAAATTTTTCTGTCACCCTTGCTCTTATATATTCAATAGCTTCATCCCCTTCTAGCCTGGCACCTTGGGCTGTAGTTATAAAACTCTGCTCTAGGATCGTCTCATTTCTTAGGGAGTTTAGATGGTTCCAAAATTTCGCAGCTGCCTTTCTATCTTTTTTATGTACTTCTGCCAGCCACTGAGCTCCCTTTCTTCTAATCTTTTCATTGATCAGAAGGGATGCAGCCCTTCTACAGCTTAGAAAGGTTTCCCATTTTCTTTCAACATCATCTGTCGGTTCACCCCGCTGCTTAGCATGTCTGTGTTCCCTAGAGGCTTCCTGACGTTTTGCTATGGCTCTCTTAACTTCCTTATCCCACCAACTTTTGGGTTTGTGTCTTCTTCTCCGGGGTGACTTGTTACGCGTCTTAGCAAGCTCTAGCTCAAAGAGTCTAATTAGATTCATGTATGTCCACACTGTCTTATTATCCTCCGTGATTACTTTCTCAATTTGTTTAGTGGCTATTTCAATTTGCCTTTCTGAATAAAAATTTTCCTGTAGTTGCTCATCTTGTCTCCTTCCCACTTTCACTGCTCTTCCAAAACTTAGCTTGATACGTTTGTGATCACTACCCAGACTTCTGGAGCCACCTTCATCTATGTGCATTCCCCTGAGCTTATCA